CATGATGGCAGTATGTCCCCTGGAGGCCATGGACTCCAGGCACAGTAGTTTCTTATATGTCTATATCAGGGGCATTGGGTAGTAATTACCCTATATCAACCTGCAGAAAGACCGCCTCCCCGGGCAGGATACAACAGGGAGCCCCACTTTGGGGTACAAAAAGAGATTCGAAGGTACAAATTACATATTTAAGTTACATGCTGAAGTATAACTAGGCTGATGGAGAGCCATTTTCTATTTTGGTCTTCTCAGGTTCTATGGAATGTTCACTTGTATATGACTCTGTTTTCATTCCTATGGACTCACTCCTCCTAAGGGTACAGTTTCAGAAACTGGCCATGGGATCCCAAATCCCCCTGAGCTGGATAGCAAAAGTAACATTTTAAGTGTTTAATAATATAGAGAGGGTTAACATGGGAAACAGTCCATAAAATGGCAACTGCTCTAATCAACACTCAGTGACCTCAGAATCAGCCCCAAAAGCAGTGTGGTCTAGCTAAGAAGGCCACAAGAGAGCGTTTCAGATGTGGAAAGCCAGGACACTGTGCAAGGAGTATCCTCTTCGAAGGGAGATAAGAACTTCCACTTAGCTCATGGCCTTGTCTAAAGACTGATGGGATTTGAGGACTCCGGAGTGTTCCACAACCTAGGCATCCCAGTCAGAGTCTTGGGTATTCACTGATGTCACAGATAAGAGTGTTAACTTGTGAAATTAACAGGAGTCACTGTGTACTAACTTCCCATGAAGGACCTCTTTCCTCAAAGACTTTTATTATTATTACGGGGGTTGATGATACAACTTGCTCTAAAATATTCACTTTGACTTAGTGTGTTAAAGGATATCCTCATCTCTTAGCAGTTTTTGGTAATGTCTAAATGCCCAATCCCTTTGCTTGGGAGAGATTCATTATCCCTAAGTGCTACTCTGAAGCTAATTTCTCCCATGTCTAAGTCATTTGTTATAATTTTAGCAAGTACTACGGCAGATCCCAGTCTATAAGATCTTCCTAATGAAATAAAAGAGTAGATCCTTAAGTTTGGCATCAAGGAATACCTGGACAGCCTACCATGTCAGGGTTTTCTTAAAAGATGAGACTGCATTTTCTCATCGGGAAAAGCATCTCATAAAACCAGAAGCTACACAGGGGACTTCAACCCTAGATTGGTAAGTTTCTTGAACATTCACTCTTGGTTCCAAGAGATTTTTTTGTTTGTTTGTTTGTTTGTTTGTTTGTTTTTTGACAGCCAGAGTGGACAGTGAGAGAGACAGAGACAGAGAGAAAGGTCTTCCTTTTTCCATTGGTTCACCCTCCAATGGCCACCGCGGCTGGCGCGCTGCGGCCAGCACACCGCACTGATCTGAAGGCAGGAGCCAGGTGCTTCTCCTGGTCTCCCATGCGGGTGCAGGGCCCAAGCACCTGGGCCATTCTCCACTGCACTCCCTGGCCACAGTAGAGAGCTGGCCTGGAAGAGGGGCAACCGGGACAGAATCTGGCGCCCCGACCGGGACTAGAACCCAGTGTGCCGGCGCCACAAGGCGGAGGATTAGCCTAGTGAGCCGTGGCGCTGGCCCCAAGCCAATCTCCTTGTAATACTACTATTCTGACTATTTTGAAACCAAATAGGGAATAGAGGCTGGTGGACTTCAGATCACAAGGTTATTCTCCCAGTGGCCTCTCAATGAAATAGTTAAGGAAATACATGACTCAACTCTTCTGGGAAGAGAAGCTTTAACATGGATAGTCTCTTGGGTATTTGAAGGAAAAGGACTACATGATATCAAAAGGAAAGTAACTCAACAGGTAGCTACTGCTCTAGGGTTTATCTCCATGCCTCTTGGGAGACCTCAGTCATTAGGTATAGTCCAAAAGGCTGATCACAGTCTTAAGAAAATTCTGGCTAAGCTTTGCTAAAGCCCTCAGAAAACACTGATTAAATGATTGCCTATTACCCCTCTCAGGATGAGAATGACACCTAAGTCTACTTTAAATCTTATTAAAATGCTATATGGAAAGCCCTTCCTCACCTCTGACATCCTCTTTGATTCAGAGACTCAAGATCAGATGAAGTGCATTATTAATTTAGGTCAGGTACAAAAGGTTCTGGTGAGTATGTTAATAAAATTCTCCAGTGCATGATCCCGAAAGTCATGAACAGCCTACATCCCCAGGATACCTAGTTTTATCAAAGACTTGGAGGGAAGTATCCCCTTCAGATCAATTGCAGTCTAAATGGAAGGGATGCTACTGAGTACTCCTACCACAGTCAAGTTACAGGGCATCCCAACCTGGGAAATTCAAGGATTAAACTTTTACAGGTACATACAGAAGATAAATCTGCCTACTCTTGTGAACCAATGGAGGATCTCAAATACCTCTTCAAATGGCAAAAATATTAAGTGACGCTTTTGCATTTGTCATATCGAGGCTATTGTACTTTAAGGCAGACATGTGTTATCTATACCTCCTTTGATTCTCTCAGGAAGCTGCTATTGGCAGAAAAACTCCTTAGTGAGTAACAATCAAAGATCCTGGTATGACACAAAAAGCTAACTAAGAATCTGTCCATTGCTTTGGGCAACCTACCCTATACTTCAGCCCAGTATTTATAACAAGTATGGAAGTGTGTGGATGCTGTCTAAGGTAGTCATGGATAACTGACTAGCCTTAAACATACACTGATAGAATGAGGAGCATGTGAAGTGATTAATGGAATCTGTCACATATACTCTAGCAGTAAGTTCACTGTAAAAACAAACATTAAAAATCTTTATGCTCAGGCTAGGTGGTTTTCTCATTTGCAGAATCTATCAGCACCCACTATTTGAAAACAATAAGATATATTCTTCCTTTCCTAAAGGGCATGCCACTTGGCAATTTGATTTTTCCAGTTATGTTCACACTGATAAAGTTGTCTGTTTCAGAATTCAACAGCTTCTCAAAATAATGATCCTGCTGAGCTACAGCCATTGGCAGTGACTGATGAACATTCTCTGGCCTCTGGGACAGATCCATTAGATGAGATGGGAAGAGGTTTCTGAACCCAAGATAGGCAGAACCCACGACACTGATCAGCAGGAAGTAGATACAGAAGATGAATCATTACTCTTCAGCACTCTCTTAGCATACAGGGTCGGAAATGTGAGGGGAGAATGATATGGGATGAGGCAGGTAGCCAGATTAAGGTCACAAGCTGGCAGCTGCACACACTCTCCCCTGCACTGCAGTGTGATCCTATCCACTTACCTGTCAAATGGCCCCCTTCCCAGGATGTATTTCCCTTCACCTAAGACCTGGGTTGGGCGGTGTCATGTAGCCACTCCCCTTCTGGCCTTATAAAAGATGGCTATTGGGAGTGAGTCTTTCTTTTGGTAGAGACCAGAACAAAAGGAGGCACTGAAGATGCCTTCCATTTCCCTCCCCAACCCCTTTCCCTTCCTGGCCCATTCCACTTAACTATGCCCACATGTGTGTTTGCTTTCTCACTTCTTAAATAAACCATGTTGCATACTGTATATGTGCCTGTACTTAGATTGCTTCTCTAAGTAAAAGCAAAGACCTAGATTAAAATTAACTCCCACCTCTCCCACTTCAGTTTGGATCCTGGCCACTCTGCTTCCAAACCAGTTTCCTGCTAATGCACATCCTTACACTAGGTAGGAAGGTAGACCCTTGTGGGAAGGAAGGTAGCAGCTTTAGAAACATTCAGAAGCAGTCTGATATCTACACATGAAAAGTCCTGACCAAGTCCCATAACCTTGTACAAGGGTCCCAGTCACACCTTCTGGGAACATGCCAGGGGAATCTTAGTAGGCTGGCACCAAGGAAGCTATTTGGGGGTCTAATAAAGCCTCAGGAGGAGTCTCACACCCAGAAAGTCTTTCCAGCAATACTTCAAAAGAGGGGGAAGGGGAAAGAGGGAAGAATTGGACTCCACAGCCATATATACCCATCAAAATGCATACTGGGCACTCCATTCCTTGGTGAGTTGCCCATCTGGCCTGCCAGGTGTACTGCTTCATTAAACTTTGATATCTTGCTTACCACCTATCTCACATCTGAAATTCTCTTCTTAGGGTAGACAAGAACCTCTGTTCCAGCCAACTATGGTAACACCCCGAGGCAGTAGATGATGGCTCATGTACTTGGGTCTCTGCCTCCCACATAGGAGACCCGGATAGAGTTCCAGGTTCCTAGCTTTGGCCTGTCTCAGCCCTGGCTACTGCAGGCTTTGGGAAAGTGAATCAGCACATGGAAGATCTCTCTCTGTCTCTCCAATAAAATGAAAAAAAAAATATATCTTTAAAAAGGGCAGATTTTAGCAGTCATGAGTTGAAACTACAGAACCACAAGATAGAAAGAACTCAAGTTACTGAATTACATCATAAAAAGCCACCCAGTGATGGAAGTACCTGGCTTTTGAGACATGAACCAACCTTAACATGGAGGGAGCAGAACAAGGAAATATCTCATTTTGGATTTGCTCACTGTGGGTCTTGTATGTCTCATCCTCTACTCTTGAGGGCTAAGTGAAGCATAATTGTCCCCATTTTACAGAGGGGCTAGGCAAAGTGCAGAGAAGTTAAGTAGCTGGGAAGGGGCATCACATTCCACAGTCTAGCCAAGTCCAGGCTTAAATACAGACATCTTGATTCACAGGGACTAGCACTTTCTTTCTGCGCTATGCTGAATGCTGAAGATTCCTCCTAAAACTGACAAGTTATCTGCTAATCTACATCTCTGAGCCATTAAATAGATTAAATAGACTATAAAAAGATGAAAGAGAAGGCAACCCTCCCTAGAGGCAACTGTCATCACATTCATGTGTTCACACCCAGCACTCAACCAAGAACATCGCACAAAGAAGGGCTTTCATACTTGCCTGTTAAGTTTAGAGAGGGAAAAACGAAAGAAAACTTCAAGTTTACATCATAAGACAATGAAAGGCCAGTAGACATATGTTGCATACAGCTTTCACATGTAGACCAATCACAATAAGACTGTAAGTCCATCAACTGTAATTTATTTAAATAACAATTGCATGTTGCAGGTAAACCAGTTGTAGCAATATGAAAATACAGATTTCTGAGGAAATCTCCAACTCAAACACATATCTAATGACACACAGTACTCTTATAATACTAAGAAATCAAAAATAAAACATGTTGACTTTCAAGCTGTGATCATCTATCTGCACTTAAAAATATAATTTCTAAGATGACATCTGTTTTCAAAAACATGTTAATGGTAAAAATAGGCTATGGGGACTGCTGTCTCCATGTTGGAAACTTAGGTCTCACATCAGCATTAACTCACAAATCATAGATGATACCATTAACACAAAATCAGCAAGAGAATACTCATTGGGAATGTCATTTCTATATTAAACATATCAGAACTTCACAGTTTTCTTTGTCACTTGTGTAGATAAAATGCTTTGATAGCGACAATCTATTTCACTTTCTGATACCAGAACCGGTGCCTACTTGATCAGCAGATGGATGTTACTAACACATTCATTTTACATAGAAATTATATCTTCAGCTTCTAAAAATGTTTTTCTCTGTAAAAGTGTGACCACTGAGAATGGGAAAGAAAGAGATCTAAGCTCAAATGTAATAAAGAAAGAGTGAGATAAAATGTTGATGATTTTTACTAAGAGAAAATTGCATTGCAAAGTACATACAGGTAGATTGGATGTCATGATCCAACAGGAGATTTCCCATCAGTTACAAAATGCTAAGGCTTCCAACCTTACTTTTGTTTAATTCAAGCAAAAGTGGAAAAACACATGTTGTGAAAGTAGAAATCCTCTTACACGTCAAGTTAAGATTATGATTAGGTGCCTACATCACAAGACAGGTCTATTTTGTATGTTTTAAGGCAAAGCACAATTTCCCAAATGAAGCTTTGGGAATAAATTTCAGTAATGAACTAATCATTTTCATTATATATATATATATATATATATGCACATGTATATATGTATATACATATATATATATATTTGGCTATACTTATAATTTAGAAACTTACATGAAAACACATAGATGTCCCTATCCACATTTGCAAATAAATATTTCAAACACTACTACAAAGGGATCTTCAAAAAGTTCATGGAAAATGTGTATTTGAAAAAAGTATAAGTGAAATTCAAAATTCCTTTGCTAAAATACATTTCTTTTAATCCAATTTTTCCACAAACTTTTTGAAGTTCTTTTTTAGGTAAATTACTCAATTGGTGTTCATTTAAGTATTTGGATGCCAAGAGTCAGCAATAGGGAAACATAATTTTAAAACATTAACTAGTTACAGAATTTTCCCCAATACAGTATCAGAAAACAACATTTTATTGAGAATTCAGTAATTTTTCTGGTCAGCACATAACAGTGAAATACACATATTCTCCCTCTACAGATCTTAAACAGAACCCAACAGCACTGTTTTCTTAGGACATTAAATTGAAGCAATATACTAAGATTTTAGGTGTTTACCATAAACTTTTCATATAAATTATTTTCTTTAAAAAATATCACAAATCTCTCTACAGAAAGCAATTGTATACTATGAACAATCTCTTTAGGAAAAAAGTTAATTAATGAAAATTATTTAAACTTATTTACCACCCCCAAAACTGCCACCTGGCCATTCGGATTCATCAACAATAGAGAATTCAAATGTCTGTGTGATTCCCAAAGCACAGAGCATCACACCTTCACACTGAATAAAACCTTCCAGCATTTCAAAATAATATAATTCCTTTAAAGTTGAAAAAAGTACTCTACTTTAAATTCTTAATTCAATTTCACTGGTTATTTACTTAGGTGAGATCAGTTTCTTTTACTTTTTTCTCCAAATGGTGCCTGCCAACTACCAATAATTAAACCAATTTACTAGAAGATATTACATAGCAATAAAATAAAAATTCCCACTAGGATGTGCCAGCATCCCTGAAGTTCACCATTTAAAGTATGCATTTCTTAGAACTACTAGATTATCATACAAGGTATACTGGTTTGTTACTATGCAACAAATTTTACTTCATGAAGTTTGGTCTTAAAGTACTTGACTTTTCCTATTAAGCATTCAGTCTGTAGGCATCTGTAGGCATTATTACAATGAGGCAGCTGCTTTGCTTTTTCTAGACAAAGTCGTGTTACAGTATTACTATGCTGACACATGTCACGGGTACACTGTCCATAGGAAGGAATGGGGCTTACATGTCTTCTGAAGCTGGATCTACAGATCCCGCTGAATAGTTCAGGCCAAGAACCTGCTCAGCCATCTCTCTATGCTAAGTAGTCCGTGTGTCATTTTTTTCTGAAATGATGAGGCTACAGACAGACTGGACTGGGTTGGATTTCAACAGTACCTCTGAAGAAGCAGTTTCAAGCATCATGATCAAATCCTAACTACTCAACCCAAAAAGGTTTTCCTTGATGGTAAAAATTCTCATATGTACTTTTCCCTACATTTCAAGTTCAACAGTTTTAAAGCCACCAAATCTAATAGCAAATGTATGAAAGACAAACTACCAACAAGGAAGCAATATTATGTTCTACAATAAGCAATCTGATACTTAAAGAGAAAGAATGTAAGTAATTGGGTTGGTGGAGGAAGAACAATGTAGAAAAAATCATATAATTCTTCTGAAAGAATAGTATAAAACATTGTCTATTTAATATTTATACAGTGTTATATATTTATCTACTGATCAATAACTGCAATTAACTAGCTGCAATTAATTAAGCACAGTCTAAAGAGACCAAAAATAGGTCTTAATTATATTTATGCATGTAACTTAGGTATCAGCAATTTTCAGAAAAATCAATAGGCAGCAAAAGGCATAAAATTCATAATATTAAATAAATAATCTGCCAAATTATTTTCTTAGTAGCTAATTTGTATCTAAGAACCTTTAGAACTACTAGGCCAGTTGAGTCAATGGGAAAACCTTGATAACATAAAGTGCTTGAAAAGATGTCACTGAATTTTTCAGAATATTATTATCTTGGAAGATAATTTAATCATGAAATCTGCTATCTCAGATGTAAGAATCACTCTTCTACAATTCTAACAGTTGTATTTCCTGGAAAAGTGAAGAATGTCTATAAAATTAGATTTAAATAGGAATCTTACAAATAAGAATAAGGAGTTCTGCATGGATGGAAGTGGCAGAGCACACATTCAAACATGCCAATGACCTTCATCACCTGCAGAGCAAACATGATGACAGTTTAAGGGCACTTGAACAGAAAAAGCCGTGCTTCTGACAATGTTACCATGGTGAGAGGGTAGGCAGAGTAGATGGCAGGTCAAAGCCAGAACTCTAGGAAGCCAGACATTGGAAGGCCTTTAAAGAAAAGTGCATGCATGAAGAATGCTCCCTTGACACTTGGCAGTACCAACGTGCCCTCGCCATCCCATGGGCTCAAAAGCCACATGTGGGACGTGGCCACTGTACTGGCCAAGCAGGAAGGAAGGAGAAGCAATACTGTTCAGAGGTTGGAAAGGACAAGATGTGAAAAAGTTTTGAGAATTAACCAGAGAAACTCCAGAAATTTTTCTAGTTGTTTTCAAAGACCATTTTTAAAATAATTTTTTTAAATATCCAAGGGGTGGAAAATCTCTACTAGCAAAACAACAGAAGTGGAATTAATAACCTGTATTAATAACAGGTACTTTCAGAACCTATCATAATGTACCTACCTCTACTAACAACTTCACACAACCCACTGACTTGAAGCCCTGAGCAAGAATCATAGCGTGGCCTCAACAACCAACTAGTCCAAGTTTTCCAAGCTTCTAGTCCAGGTCTGAATAACAGTCACATATTGCTGCTATATTCACTCTTTTGCAAAAGAGCTAGTCACACTGTATCAGCCTCTTGGACTGTTCCACTGATTAGAAATTATTCCTTGAGAATTCACCTCCCTACAGTTTCTGTTTCATCTCTGCTCTCTGAAGAGAGAAATAATCAATTAATTTTATCCCATATGACTTGAGACCTTTGTGTACCCAGGAGCATAGAGAACATCAGCATCTATGTCAAAAGCAGCTGTAATTAATTTTCCATTAATTGTCAAGCAGGAATCATGCTTTCCTTGTCATTATCCCTACAAAGCACAACCTCTTTATAAAGCACCTATCAGAACTCAGACTCCCCATTTAAAAGAAAACAAAGCAAAACAACCACAAAAAAGGCAATCATACCAGGAACTACACAAATTGCACTGTCAGACACACTGGCAGTCCAATCCCCTCATATATGCACCTCAAAAGATTAAATAAAACATTGCTACTTCAATATTCATTCTTCAAAGAATATCCTAAAAATCATAAAGTAATTCCAAAAATGTAATATTAGCTGATGTCGCCAGCAACTGGTGCCAGTACACTTCCTTGAACATATCAGGAAACAAACATCTCTAGCACTAATGATATTACAGTACTTAAACATCCACTGCATAGATTGTCCATCAAAAGAACAGGAAGTAATAATAAAAGCAAAATAAGAAAACATAACAAAGGAAAACATTTATGGGACAGATGACTCTCTGTTATATGTCTTTCAAAATAGTTAAAATAAAACAACTATTAGCTTAAAAATTTTTCATTTTACAGTAGAACATTGAGTGACTCAGCTATGACTTGCAGCTTCCCACAAAAACAATACAGGTATATATGCTTTACAAAATAATGCTACCAGAGCTCACCTAAGCAATTTACAAGCTTTTTTACAATTATACACAACAATAATTCTGGAACATATTTTCCACTGCAACTTAAACTATAATGACAGTCAATTCTATCTCCTCTTTGTAATTAAAGTTACATAATTCATGTTTATAGCACATACTGATCTATCTGAAGAAGTGGTACTCTGACTCAAGTTGTGTTAATCATCCTGCACTGGAAATGCAGCCTAAGTGTTGATCAGGAATCAGCACCTTAGGAGCCAACGTAGAGGCACAGCTGATTAAACCATTACTTGGGACTCCCACACCCCATATCAGAGTGTGGGTTCAAGCCCCAGTTATTCTGCTTCCAATCCAGTTTCCTGCTAATGTGCCTGGGAATGCAGCAAATGATGTCCCCAGCACTTGAGTCCCTGCTACCTAGTTGGGAGACCTGGATGGAGTTCCGGGTTCCTGGCTTTCACTAGACCCAGCTCCAACTGTTGTAGACATTTGGGGAATGAACCAGCAGAGGGAAATCTTTCTCCCTCTCTCTGTCACTCTCCTTTCAAATAAATAAATAAATCATTAAAAATAAAAAGAATCAGTACCTTGAAAGAAATAACACCAAACACCATTTGCACATAGGCTCATGCAACCGGGAACAGCAAGGAAGGAGCAAATTCATAATTTGGGCTACTGTTGGTGCCAAAAGCATTAATAAATTTATAGCTTTTTGAATGTCCATGCTTCTTTCAAAGATTACAACCTCAGTCAATAGCTTTGAGATGGTAACCGATGCTTAGAAACCCTAATGCTGCTCTCCCCACTGAAGACATCAAGGCCCAGAAAGGGTCACTCACTTACTTCAAGTCATGGAATTAGTAACCAACAAAGATAAACTCCTCATTTCCTGTTCAAATGTATAGGATTCCATGACAAAGTTCCTCTTCTTCAAAACTGAAATAGAAAGCATAAAACCTGGATTTGTCAACTCGTGAACTTTTTTTCCTTTCTCTGGATCCATTCTGGTCCTTAGCCACACTACACATACCGGGGAAGTAGGGGGAGGAATGGTGATGATTGAAAAATAAAAGGCACAGTAGGTGGGAGTGGTTTGGACTACACATAACATTGTAAAAAATAAATACACAGACTCACAGTTATAAAGCTGAAAGGGACCTTGGAAGTCATCTGTTCTTTGTCCATTTCACAGATGACAATACGGTGAGAGGCACAAGGAGCCAGGGACCCCCTAAAGGTCACCTTGTTAACTGCTCACTGGTGGCAGAGCCAGGACCATATGGAGCTGGGCTCTTTCTCACTCCATGCCCTGTCATCTAACTCAAGGACTAATAAGCACAAGTCCAAATATTTACAAGGAATAATCACAGTGCTAGAGAGATTAGAAAATTAGATCTTGCTCACTGACACAGAAGTAAAAACTATGGATATATTACATATCATTTAAAGCAGCAGGAACTTTGCTTCCTATAAGAAAAATAACCAATGTATATATTTCAGGCTTCATTGCTAAGATTAAGGATAATTTCCAAAATATGACTTTTATTTCCCTTTAGATATACAGGTTTTTTTAATTCTAAATTTTGCTATAATAGACTTAAATACATTCAAAAACTGGATAGTCTCTCAAAAATGTCACCACCTTTAACCAACATGAAGTTTTTTTTTAAAAAAGCCCATAACTTAGTATTTCATCACATGGATGCAAGTGTCTTTAAACCACAAATTGCATCGTCCCATCCTTGTCCATGCCCTCCACCTGCTCTCCTCAGAGTTTTCAGAAGGTCATTGTTTAGCTATTTTAAAATATGAGTGATGTTTATTTCTCCTCTGAAATTTAAATACTGGGCAACAGAATACCTCTGAAGTTTAACTGACCAAGAAATCTAAAAATGGCTCAACATGTAGGACATTTGCTACTTAAACAGTGTTCACATCGATATTAAAAAATAACTAATCTAATTAGACTACATGTGTCTGTAAGTCTTTTAAAAGACTTCTCCACCTCCCAATTAAAATCTAATATGAAATCTTTTTTGGAGATGCAAAAAATAAAAATTTTCTAGATACTATTGAATTTAATTCCATAGGGAAAAAAATTTATGTAGACCAACAGTAAATCATCATTCAGATGACAGCAAATATTGATAATAAAATTGGATTTTTTTGTCTCTTATTCACATAAACATATTTCCACTTTAATACACGATCTAATCTATAGCAGGTGGTGATGCCAAGTGAGGGAACATTCCATAGTTGGTGTTCTGATCAATCACGTTCTGAGGAAGGTTTCCTCCAGAGGTGCAGGGCTGCCTGGATTCTGAAGTGTAGTCTGGACTCCAGGGAATAGTCCTTGTAGTTGTTTCTGAAGACAATAACAACAAAATTGTACAGTCAAACCATCTGTGTATCCCAGGGCACAAGCAGCCTCCCCACCCCCCTCGCTCATCTCCTTATTTACTTTCAAACCCTAACAGGCATAACAGTAGATCTTAGGAAAGTACAGCTTCCTGGTTCTGTAAGAGGTGACAGGACAGAGGACAGTGATAGTCTATATTTCTAGAAGCTTCCTGGTGGTGTTCCAAAGGTCATACTTTGAGCAGCAAGGTTCTACTTAATCACAAAGGCACTCACAAGCACAGCAAGAAGGTTATGAGGAGGGTCTAGCAAACTGAACAGTTTTTTTTTTTTTTTAAGATTTTACTTATTTATGTGAGAGGTAGAGTTACAGACAGTGACAGGGAGAGACAGAAAAGTCTTCCATCCACTGGTTCACTCCCCAAATAGCTGCAACAGCAGGAGCTGGGCCGATCCAAAGCCAGGAGCCAGGAGCCTCTTTTAGGTCTCCCACTTGGATGCAGGGGCCCAGTCACCTGAGCTGTATCAGAAGAGGAGCAGCCGGGACATGAACTGGTGCCCATATGGAATGCTGGCTCCCCAGGCAGAGGATTAACCTACTGCACCATAGCACTGGCCCCAAGTTTGGCTTTTTTAAATTAGAAGGTTTTAAGGAAGGCTCATTTAAACATGGTGAACACAACCAATGACTGAAAAAAAAAAGAAAAATACCTTGGAACAATTGCATGAAAGCAGGATTACTGAGAATGCCAAAATTACTTATTCCATTGCTTACATACAAGTATCAATGGTTTGATCAATAATTATGTAACAATCAGACCAATGCCAGAATGAACCACAGAAACTCAAAGGTCATTTAAAAACCCTACATAGATAATCCATGTTGACTTTACCTAGTTAGAACTGTTAAGAATCTGCAAAATGGGACAGCTGTACAGAATGGTCTTACAACCACCTTGTTTGTATTGGTATATTTTTCTATAGCTGTTTGCCTTACACATTTCTAAGGGCTACTTACTGGTAACCCAGAAAATATATTACTAGAGTTTACCAAAGTCAACATATTACTAGAGTTTACCAAAGGATGTTACTGAGTATTTTCTACATGGCTAGCCACCTAAAGTGGCAAATTGGCAAAGCTCCTAATATGAAAGTACTTAAAAAAATTTCATGAAAAATGGAGTTAAACAGTAAGTTCATTTAAGTGCAAAAGAAGTTGAAATGTATGAATAGTTTTTCACCAAAAACAATTCATTGTGGGGAGGGGGCAGGAATTTGACTTAATTGTTAAGCCTCCATTGAGACATCTGCATCCCATATGCAAATGCTTGGGTTCAAGTCCTGGCTCTGAGTTCTGACTCTGCTCCTGATCCCAGTTTCCTGGGAACAGCAGTCATGGCTCAAGTAACTGGGTCCCTGCCACCCACATGGAAGACCTAGATGAACTCCAGCTCCCAGGTCTGGCTTGGCCCAGCTCTACCCATTATGGGCATTTGGGGAGTGAACCAGTAGATGAGAGTGGAGCTCTCTCTTCGTCGGTCTTTCAAGTGCATAAAAACTAAATATAAAATTTTACAAATTTATTGAAAAATGTGTATTAAGATTATAAATAGGCATCCAAATTTTTGATGCCAAAATAAATTTATCTTTTAATTTAATTTTTCCTTGAACTTTTTTGAAGTTCCCTCATACCTAAGGGGAACTGCAGAGAATTGAGAGTCCTGAAATTACTGGGATGTGTGTCTAAATCACTGACACTGCTTTGACTTAGTGGTAACTTCCAGTTGCTTTTCAGTTGTAAAATACTTGTCATTTACATTCATCATTATAAATTTGTCTCACCGGGGTTGGTGCCGTGGCTCACTTGGTTAATCCTCTGCCTGCAGCACCAGAAACCCACATGGGCGCTGGGTTCTAGTCCCAGTTGCTCCTCTTCCAGTCTAGCTCTCTGCTGTGGCCTGGGGAGGGCAGTGGAGAATGGCACAAGTGCTTGGGCCCCTGCACCCACGTGGGAGACCAGGAGAAGCACCTGGCTCCTGGCTTCAGATCGGCGCAGCGCTGGCCGCAGCAGCCATTATGGGGGTGAACCAATGGAAGGAAGACCTTTCTCTCTGTCTCTCTCACTGACTATAACTCTACCTGTCAAATAAAAAAAAAAAAAAAATTGTCTCACTGTGCACTTCACAGGAAGGACTTGCATATGTCCACATACTGAATATTTGGAATAGCAGTATTTATAGTCTAACTTTCTATTTTTTTTTTTTCATTTTTATTTTTTTTTATTTTTTTGACAGGCAGAATGGACAGTGAGAGAGACAGAGAGAAAGGCCCTCCTTTTGCCGCATCGCGCTGATCCAAAGGCAGGAGCCAGGTGCTTCTCCTGGTCTCCCGTAGGGTGCAGGGCCCAAGTACTTGGGCCATCCTCCACTGCACTCCCTGGCCACAGCAGACAGCTGGCCTGGAAGAGGGGCAACCGGAACAGAATCCGGTGCCCCGACTGGGATTAGAACCTGGTGTGCCAGCGCCGCAAGGCGGAGGATTAGCCTAGTAAGCCGTGGCGCCGGCCATAGTCTAACTTTCTAATAGCTGTATTTGATGATACATAGATATTATGGTTGAAATACCAGTCATACACTCATATATTAACTTAAGAAGTGATGTGTTTACCTTTTTTTTTTTTTTTTTTTACTTTAAGGAAGCCCTTCTTGGCTTTCCATGCCCCTGAAGCTTCCACTCCATCACTACACTCTGTTCAAATTAAACATCCTTAAAGAGCTGTCTCAAGCAGCTGATTCCATTTCTCCTCTCAGCTCACTTGTCAAAAGTCACCAATGACTGGCTTGCTGCCAAGTGCAGCAGCCAATTCTCTTTAACCTTGCCGAACCTCTCAGCAGCTGCCCTCATAACTGACCACTCTGTCTTCTTTGTGAAACATTTTGTTCAGCTGGCTTTCCTAGATATTTTCCTAACTCACATAATCTTATTATGAAGAGCTTAATCTTCTTCATCATATTGTTTAATCTCTGACAAACGGCATAACCCAGGCACTATGCTAGACCTTTCTCCAGATATGTAACTTTCTCAAAATGACCTCATCAAGTACTGTAGCTTTAAATATCACTGTCTCTTGTGTTGGTGACTTTGAAATCTCATCCTCAATCTTGCATGTGTTTTTGACAGCCAACTTACTATCTTCACATGGGATATCTAACAGATGCCTCAAAATATCATGGTCCAAAAGAGAAGCTCCTTCTCGTCCTTAAATTATTTTATTCTCCAAGTCAATAAAAAGCATAATCATCAACCTAGTGGCTTAATTTCAACCTACTGACTTAATTTCACAATCGAAGGGTTCCCTGGCTGTGGCTTCTGCCAGGAAAGCGCCCTCTCATCTTCTGGTGACTGATTTTCTCAAAACTAGCTTTTTTTTTTTTTTAAGATTTACTATTTATTTATTTAAAAGTCAGGGTTACAGAGACAGAGGGAGAGGCGAGAGAAAGAGAGAGATCTTCCATCTGCTGGTTCTCTCCCCAGATGGCCACAATAGCCAGGGCTGGGACAAACTGAAGTCAGGAGCCAGGAGCTTCATCTGGTCTCCCACTTGGAAAGCAGGGGCCCAAACAGTAGGCCCATCCTCTGCTGCTATTCCCAGCCTATTAGCAAGCAGGTGAATGGGAAGTGGAGCAGCTAGGACACAAACCGGCCCCCATGTGGAATGCCAGCATCACAGGAGGCAGTGCTATGCCACAACACCAAACCCTCAAAACCCTCAAAACTAGCTTTAATTATGCAAATCCCAACTACAACATCACCTCTTCAAGAAAATCATTTAGAATCAATGTAAAGTAACACCCAGGTATCACACTGTAAATCTCAGCAAAGCATATACCAGAGATTTTTCTTACTTGTTTAACATCTCCCTCCAGGTAACAGAATAGAAACACTGTTGAGTTTACAGTTATCTCTTGAGAGCCTTAACTATTGTATAGGACACAGCTGATGCTCAGTGGACACACAAGGACTTCTAAAAGTTCATGGAAAATGCAATTAAGAAATACATTTATTTTAATGAAAAAGTTTTGAAATCTATGAGTAGTTTTTCATAACATCCATTTCCATGAACTTTCTGAAGTTTCTTTACATTTGAATTGGAATACATGAACAAATCAATGAACCACTAAATCACTTATGACTTAGAACTATTAGGGCATTCTTTCTCTACTGAATGAAGAGTGGAAGGCAAACAGAACACAGGTGTCTGCCTTACTTAAGTGAAACATTATCACCCGTCTAAGAGCAATTACCCAGCAAACATGATAAAAATATTCTGAAGCCCTCATAGCAGCCCGAAAGAACTCAGAGGTAGATCAAAGAGCATCATGGAATCAGTGGCTCTTCAAGGAAACAACAGATGTGACTGAATATGCTTACAGTTGGCAAATTATGATACAAAGACCAAATCTAGACACTCATTTTTCTTTAATGGTTGCTTTTGATATAACTGAGCAGTTGTAATGGAGATTTTATACTAATGTCATAAATACTATCTGATCATTTACATTAAAAGTTTTCTGAGTCCTAATATAGAAGACAATTTGTTAGAAATCCCTTACCCAGATACCTACACATCTGTCAATGATCACAAGAAGGCATTAAGAGGGTTGGAAATAGCAATTTAACAGCAAAAGTCAGGAGCATAAACCAAGAATAAGTTAGCAAATGTAACATTGTTACTAATTTTGCACCAATTTGTTGATTTTTAAGTGTATAATGTTTCTGTTGTTATCATGGTATTGATATTCCTGATGTCACAGCAATCAAGGAAAAGCCGTGTTTATCACTTACCTTGCGGTTTCTAGGACCTTTATGGCCTTATCAATTTCCCCTTGGCTTTTATACAAAAATGCCAACTCAAACAGAGTGAAGGGCACTAGGTAGTGGTCATACTTCAGTAGCTTTTCACTGAAAGAACAAACCAAACACAAGGAAGTCTTAACAGAACAAGAAAACATCATTCTTTTGCAACATATGTATCATTCTCTACTCCTCAGAAAGCAGGTGCATCACTAAGCCTACTATCAGAGAAAAGCCACCATCACACAGCTATGGGACCTAATAAAATAAACAGTATGTTTTAATGTAATAATATTTTATTCTTTAATATAAATCCAGCCCTGATAATTGTTTACTCTCTCTCAGGTCAACGAATGCTGAACTCAAACGATTAACCCTGGGGGTGTACAACTGGCAGAGAAGGGGAGATGTCTGTCGGAATGGCCACATCCCATCCTGGAGTGTCTGGATTCAGTGGTCAGCTCCAACTCCTAACTCCTGCTTCCTGCTAATGCAGACACTGAGGGCAGGCAGCAGTGATGACTCAAGTGGCTGGATTCCTATCACCACTGTGAGAGAACTGGATTAAGTTCCTGCCTCCCAGCTTAGACCAAGTCCAGTCTCAGTTGTTGGGAGCACTTACAGGGTAAAGCAGTGGATGGAGCACTCTCTACTCTTTCCTTTTCTCCACCCCTGCCATCCAGCAGACTGCAGCATTCTCCTGCATGGAGAGCAGGAACCCAAGCAGTTGAGCCATCATCCACTATTTCTTGGGTATGTTAACAGGGAGCTGGATTGGAAGCAGAGTAGCCATGACTTGAACTGGCACTCCGTTATGGGATGCAGGCATCCCAAGAAGCAGCTTAAGCCACTGTGCCACAATGCCCTCATACCTAGTTACTCTGCTTCCAATCCAGCTGCCTGCAAGTGTGCACCCCAGGAGGTAGAGTGATGGTTCAAGTACTTGGGTGTCTGCCACTCACATAGGAGACCCAGATGGAGTTCCAGACTCCTGGCTTTGGCCTGGCCCAGCCCTGGGTGTTGTGGGGATTTTGGAAGTGAACCTATGGACAAAATATCTCTCTCCATTTGTCTCTATCTCTGCCTTTCTACCTCTCAAATAAAATGGAAAAAAAAAAAATCCTGAAGAAACAGTTTCACTTCCAGAGCTTGGACAGTTTCACTTCCAGAGCTGCACCACAATCTTGGTTTTTGTGAGGTGTTTTAAACACCAAGTAAAAATGCAGAAAGCTGTGTTCCATGCGGACTATAATCATGTTATCCAGGAACAAAACAAGCTAGTGGATTCTCTTCCCAGTAACACCAAGTGAAAGGTTAGCAGCAAGAGACCAAGCATCCTGCATCGCCTTCTCACAACTTCCCCAAACCCCAGTGTGTGCTCAGTTTGGTTTTATAGCATGTTGGTACCTTTCCATGACATAGTTGAAACACAGTTCGGCTTGCAAGGGCCGCTGTAAGTTCTTGAGGCAGCATCCTTTAAGTAACTTCACCAAGCACTCATCGTCTACAGAGTATTCGCTAGCGCCTTAAAAACACAACAGAAAAACACTTTAAAAAAATCCTCACGGGGAGGAAGAGCTAACAGTTACAAGGTTTCAGAGGAATCACTTAAAAACAAGGAAACCATTTTTAACATTGTTTTTTATGTATCAGTACACACAATACAGTGAAAATATTTTTAGTATACTGAATTCACTAGCTCACAGATACACTGTTTTATTAGGGGGTTCACTTTGTTCATGAAAAGAAGAGTTTCAGGGGGACACAATCAGCTTTGTACGCTGAGATGTAGTAACAGGAAATGCGAACTTAAATAAAGAGCTCGATCAATTCTATAAAAGATAAAGCCATGAGGCATAAGGAGGCTGCCTCCCCCTGTTGTCTTGGCGCCTAACTGTGTTGGCTTCAAATGAGGCAAGGATAAGAGCTCCATATGGAGAAGCAGATGGCCTTGCACCCATTAAACATTCAGGAAGTCAAATACCCTCTCCAGGTCATTATGTTTACAACTCATCCATTCTCCCAGGTTATGTTCTTTTGGGGGGAAATTAAGTCATAAAATTAGACAAAATAGTCCTGAAATACAAACCCCCACATACTTCTAACTGCTTGAGGGTAATGGAAAGGATTTTCCTTCCCCACTTCTTGTCTTTTGAAAATGAGTCTTCACGTTCGACAGCCCAAGGCAAATGCGTAATAGACAGAAGGAGCCACATTAGTGGTGACATCTACGGGACAAGGTAGCCAGCCCACACTGGCCACTTTGTAATTTGTTTTTCAAGTCAGATGCAACCTAGAAATCACTACACGACAGAATGGCAATTTATGCATTTCAGGTTTTAACAACAGTAAAGAGAACTCAGAGAGACCTCAGGAGTCCCTCCTATTGAAATTTTCCAGCTTTCTGTCCACACCTGGACATCACCGTTGACGTGTTCTGATATGTTAGCTGGTAAACTACTTATCAATGGGAGGTTAACAATGCTATTCAGCAGTGAGGATGGGGTCACTTACTTTGCAGATGCTGGAAAGAGCAGATACTCATCTTCAGCTTGCGAGCTCTGATATTACTCATTTAGAACCATTTTTCTGCACCCCCCCTTCCATTCTACCCATGCTTCTAATTATGCATGTTTGCTGAAATATACATTCAAGAAACATTATCTTTCAGGGCCTGGGATGGAAGCTTTAGGGTTCCATATCAGATGCTAATTTTTAGTACCATTTTTATGCATTCTACTGAGTTTTTGGTAGCATGCTATTGACAGTTTGTGTTATGACAACATTCTGTTACTCACTGAATGATGCTTTTTGATGGGAAACAGACATAAAATCATGGAAAGTTAAAGTATCGGGGAAAGCCATACTTAAACCTTATGTAGATATTGAGGCAGGGACGTGGCAAACAAGTTCAAATGTACCGCCTCCCTCCAAAAGCCTGAGAAGAAAACCATCACCTTCTCAGACCACCGAGCACTGCTAGATGATTATTTTCTCTTTTTTTTTGACAGGCAGAGTGGACAGTGTGAGAGAGAGACAGAGAGAAAGGTCTTCCTTTTTGCCGTTGGTTCACCCTCCAATGGCCGCCGCTGCAGCCGGCGCACCGCGCTGATCCGATGGCAGGAGCCAGGATCCAGGTGCTTTTCCTGGTCTCCCATGGGGTGCAGGGCCCAAGCACCTGGGCCATCCTCCACTGCACTCCCTGGCCATAGCAGAGAGCTGGCCTGGAAGAGGGGCAACCGGGACAGAATCCGGCGCCCTGACCGGGACTAGAACCCGGTGTGCCGGCGCCGCAAGGCGGAGGATTAGCCTATTGAGCCACGGCGCCGGCTCTGATTATTTTCTCTTAAAACTATTTTCCCTTAGTCATGGTTCTCAACCTCTTGAAAGAGTTCATGGATGGTCTCCATTTTACATTTGAAGAAAATTGCATGCTGCTGCTGCTGAATTACATTTTCATCACGAAAGATCTGCTCAACTTGTTAATAAAATGCTATGTAGGCTGGGGGAAAAGGAAGTTTGAAGTCCAAATTACAAACAAACAATACGGGATTTTTTAGATGCTGGTTGAAATACAACAAGAGAAAAACTTGAAAACAGAGTTAGAAAGTGAAAAGCCATAAAGTCAGTAACATTTTCCCTTATATGCAACTCTGCTACCTAATGTCACCCAGAAAATTAACTGCAAGGCACAAAGGGTAACTGCTGTGCCAAGTTCTGGCTAAACGTTGAATTAAGTTATATTTCAACAGAAACATCACTGGAATTAATACACGTAGACCAAGTGCTTAGAACTGACTTTGGAGTTCTGCCTTTTGAATCAGTGACCAGCCTTTAATAACTGTGGCCAGGGCACTGCCAGAGTATAAGATCAATCGCATTCACACATTGGCCAAGGGCAGGAGAAGCAAAACTACATTCAATTTCCAATAATGGGAACGGAGGGTGAGGTGGAGGCTGATGCGTCCTCCAGTTTACAAATCTATTCTACTCTCCAACCATGGACTTCTGTTTCCCATCTGAAGAACAGGGGCTTACTACCAAAAGGTCCTTTCTGGCTGTTCAGGGTAGAGGGGGAGAGGGAAAGATAAACTTCCTGCATACAACAAAGGTCTTGGAAGAAATCATCATAAATTTCATATGCAACATTCATCAAAGAAGATCATCAGAAAAGAAACCAATCCTTTCACCCAGAAGCAGAGCATACAAAGACAGAACTGTAGGTATGGTGTGTCTGTCTGTTTTCTCAGCTTTCCCAATCCTGCTTAAAATACCTCTAAAGGGGGCCTGTGCTGTGGCATAGCGAGTAAAGCTGCCGCCTGCAGTGCCAGCATCCCATATAGGCACCGGTTTGAGTCCCAGCTGCTCCAATTCCAATCCAGCGACCTGGGATAGCAGCAGAAAATGGCCCAGGCCCTTGGGTCCCAGAACCCACGTGGGAGAGCAGGCTTCTGGCTTCAGATCAGCACAGTTCCAGCTGTTGCGACCAATTGAGGAGTGAACTAGCAGATGGAAGACCTCTCTCTCTCTCTCTGTCTCTGCCTCTCCTTCTCTCTCTATGTAACTCCAACTTTCAAATAAATAAATTAATCTTTAAAAAATAAATAAATAAAGTACCTCTAGAGGCTAACATGAAAGCCTTATCATGGATGGAAGACAGCAGCTTGGTTTTCTAAACTATAACTGCATTTTCCATTCTTGGCCTGACGCACATATAACTACTTTTGTCTCAACACAATGGGAGTTCATAAAAAATTTAGGCAATGTAGGGCCTGTTCGAATGGAGAAAACCTAATAGTTCTTCTTGTGAGTTTTAGGATTTCTTGACATATAAGAAGCCTGATCTCTGGTGGTACAGAGTCCTGGCCCTCCTTCTGACCCAGCTTACTGCTAACATGCACCCTAGGAGGAGACAGGGACCCAAATACTTGGGTCCCTGCTACCCACAAGGGAGACCTAGATTGAGTTTCAGGCTCCTGGCTTCAGCTTAGCCCAGACCTGGCTCTTGCAGGCATTTGGGGGAGTAAATCAGTGGATGGAAGTTCTCTGTCTCCTTGCCTTTCAAATAAAATGAAAATAAATACAATTTTAAAAGAGGGTAAAAGAGCTTTATTTTGTGTATATTTTACAATTAAAAAAGAAAAAATTAATTAAAAGGGTAAAATTGTTAAAAAAAAAAAAAGAAAAGATAAGAAAGCTTATCACAATTTCATACTGCTAGGAACTATCTAGGAAGTCTGTTAGTGCTAGAAGATCTAGAAGACCATGCAGAAGAGTTCTGGAATGTATACACAGCACTCAAACACATGCTCCTGGGTTCTTTCTTGAGCAGTACAAACTTCTAATTCCTCTTTCTTTCAACTATGTATTTCTTTATTTGAGAGACAGATTGCCCATCCTCTGGCTCACTCCCCACATGCCCTAAGGCTAGGAGCTTTGGAGCTCAATCCAGATCTCCCACCTGGGTGGTAGGGACCCAAGCACTGAGTGTGCATTAGCAGGAAGTTGAAACTGAGGACAGAGCCAGGACACTACTCTGAAACGGGACGCGGGCTTCCTAACTGGCAGCTTAACTGTTCAGCCCAAACTGCCCCCTCCAATTCCTCTTTTTTTTAAGCCCATACTTGAGCCTTCTTGTCTGCTTAGTTCCCTGGCTCCCAGCATTTTAAGAGAAGCCTCAGTCTATGGAGATGAAGACTTCCAATATTTTGGCTCTTCCACCCAAGCTCTAGCTCAGTAAGGGACTGATGCCTTACAACTTTCCTGTGAGAGAAATGAGAGCCTTGGTTCTTTACAGTATGGGAAGGTAAGGTGACGTTACCCACCCCTTGTCAGCACGGAAGCTTGTCCATAGTGGAGCACAATATTCCACCGCCCTCTCTCCCTGTGCCTGCCGGTCTGTATCCGCAAGATGGCTCTTGTGGGCTGGGGGCTACAGAAGAGAGGCTATAGCCTCAGAACAGCACAGTTGTCTGGGCTCTACTGATTCTGTTTCTATCAGGTCTGAAACCTTGGCCTTGTTAACAGCCCCCTGAGCCAGCTTTTGTTCTTCTCCGACTGTTGGAAAACTAAAGCTAGAATGATTTTGAATAGGGATAGCAGTCTCAAGGCCCAACAATACTGAAAGAGCTGGTTAAATCATGACACATTAGCTCCACGAGGTGCTTCCATCTGAAGCTTTTAAAATTTACAAAGGCAAGGGGCCAGCACTATGGTGTAGCTAAGCCTCCACCTGGGGCACCAGCATCCCACATGGGTGCCAGTTTGTATCCTGGCTGCTCCTCTTCTGATCCAGCTCCCTGATTATGGCCTGGAAAATCAGTGGAAGATGGTCAAAGTGCTCGGGCCCCCATACCCACATGAGAGACCTGAAAGAAGCTACTGGCTCCTGGCTTTGGATTGGCTCAGCTCTGGCCATTGCAGGCATTTGGGGAGTGAACAGTAGATGAGAGACCTTTCTCTGTGTCTCGCCCTCTCTCTGTAACTCTGCCTCAAATAAATAAATAAAAATCTTTAAAAAAATTTATAAAGGCTATTATTTACAATACTTAAAACCTCTGTGATCTATTAAATGAAAAATCTAGGCTAGTAGATATGCAGGTAACTATGCTATAACCATAAAAATAAAACTAGGATGGAATACATAAAAATTGTAAATTAATTGTGCCACAGTGACTTTTTTCAACCTACACCAAGGATTGCAATTATGTGTTTGAAAGAATAACTGTAGAGAGAAATCTCATAATCATTTCAGCTGGATAACAAAGAGACAAAGAGAAAAACCATCTAAGGGAAGTACTTATTCTTATAGCCAGTCACCACCTGAAGCACCAGTGTGGGAAGAATACTGAATATGGAGCCAGAGGTCATACATGCTCACCTTCTGCCAGTTAAAAGGGTGTGAAGTGACTGTTACAATCCCCCCAGACACCATTCCTGAACTTCTATGTCCCTTGCTATATTTATCACCCCAGAAGTTTTCATTTTACTTTTATGAGTTGGACATTCCAAAAGCTTAGATCACTATCTTGGGATAACACCTAAGTGATTTAGCGTTCATAAGGAATACAGCAAAGGCTATCATTTATGGCACTATCCCAGCATAAGGCCTATACTAATAACACAGAATCAGAAAATACAAGGGCCAGAGAACAACTCTGGGGATCTCAACTCTAACATAGCTCCTATTTCAAAAGGAAACTGAGATGCAGGCATTTGGTCAAGCGGTGAAGATGCCCCATTCCACACTGCAGTACTTGGCTGGACTACCAACTCTGGCTCCTGACTCCACAGGCAGCAGGTGATGGTTCACATAGCCAGCTCCCTGCCACCCACTTAGGAGTCTGGACCGAGTTCCCAGCTCCTGGTGTTGGCCTGGCCATTGCAGGCGGGCATCTGAGGAGTTAACCAGGGGATGGGACTTCTGTCTGTCTCTTTCTCTCTACCTTTCAAATAAATAATTTTTAAAATAATAATAAAGTTGTCAGTACCCACAGAAGATCAATGAAGAACAAGGAGGAGGAGCAAGAAAGGAAAGTAGGAAGAAGAAAATGAAAATAGAGGTGTGTCTTCCAGGATCTGATGGCCAAAGAGCCTGGATCATGTCATCTGCTTCCAATAGAGCTTCTAGTAATCTGGGAGGAGCCTTTAGAACAATCAAAGGTAATGAGTAAAAAAAATACAAAATCAAGTGTAGCAAGGCTGAAAATAATTCCCTGTGACTGCAGAAACACACCATCTGCTGGTGACCAGTAAGGACGTGCAAAAAAGTCCCGGCAAACTAAGACCAGAAATAAGTCCACATTGTCTCCGTGTTGCTCAAAACATCAAATACCAGTCTTCTTCCCTTTATCTTAACTGTTTTAAAACTCACATACCATACAATTCACCCTTCCAAGTACATAATTCAATGACTTTAAATTTATTTCAGAGTTCTACAACCACCACAATTTTAGAACATTTGACCATTCCTCTCCTGTGAAAATGTCATATCCTTTAGCTATTAGCTGCCCCATGCCTCCATCCATGGGCAACCGCTAATGTATTTTCCACATTTATAGATTTGCCAGTGCAGCATGTATCACAGAAATGGACTCATACAATAAATGGTCTTTTTGACCAGCCCAAGGCTTCCAAGGTCCATCTGCACTGCAGGCTGTGTCTCTCCTCCCTGCTTCTCCACTGCAATCACCCAGACGTCTCTGCTCAAGCTCTCTGCCCTTGGGATGCCCACAAATCCACATGGGCTGATGTGCACAGGGAAATGAAGGGAGAAAGGGAACGGAACAGAGACCCAGATTTCCAGGTGGTTGCTTTTCATACTCACTCTCATTTTGTAGCGTTGCCTCAGCCTTTTCGACAGTTATCAGCAGATTCTCGGACAGGTCTTTTCTTTTGCCCACTATTGAAAAACCATTCCAGACATACATCATTTCCTAATGAAGAAGAATGAAAAACCATTCGCAATTACGTGAGGTTATTCAATGTCCTCTAGGACCACAAAACCATGTATGTGTGTTTTGCCCCAGTTGCTAAGGATCTCAAGACAATATTTAGAAATCATTTTCCCTAGTGTTCCTCATTTGGTGTTTAACAGTATAATTTCTCTTTCTCTCCCTTTATTTTGCATTTTATACTGTGAAGTACTTCAGGATATATAGCATGCTATGCTTTTACTGAAACAGTAATTTATTCATTCATTTAACAAATATTTATTAAGTATCTACTGGTATTCAAAGACAGAATTATAGATTCATAAATAAATATTTTAAACTGATACTATGAATAATTCTGTTTCATGTAAATTTTTGTTGTTACTTTTAAGTAAAGGGAAATATTTTAAAATTCCTGCCAGTTATTTACATAAAATGCTTCCAAGAATATTACTGGAAATGAACACCGGAGTATTTCACTGGGCTCAGGTTCTTTTATACCATTAAAACCATGTGTCGGTCCAGTAATGCAATCCAAGATGCAGAAAACACATTCACTGAAAGGCCATATGGCTGAATGACAGCTCCTGAAAATGTAAACTAATGATTTCTTATTGCAGATTATATTTAATGGGCTAACAGATGAGAATGTTTTTTGGACCAAAAGCAAATGTTTTTGCTTGAAAATATTTTTCTAATGTTCCTGATCATACAGTTCATATTGTGAAAGATGAAATTTGCAGGGTAATTACTATCTTCTTGGAAATAAATGAATTTAAAAATACAGATAAAGATATTGCTTGAAAAGCCTTTTACCACAGAAGCAATGGAAATGTGGAATGACAAATTTAGGTAGAATGACAGTAAATCATCTTTATGGCACTGAAAATTGGAATCCTGGGGCTGGTGCTGTGGCATAGCAGGTAAAGCAGCCACCTGTGGTGCCAGCATCCCATACTGGTGCCGATTCAAGTCCCGGCCACTGCACTTCTGATCCAGCTCCTGGCTAATAGCCTGGGAAAGCAGCAGAGGATGGCCCAAGTCCTTGGTCCCCTGTACCCACATGGGAGACTCAGAAGAAGCTCCTGGCTTTGGATCAGCCCAGCTCTGGCCATTGCTGCCATTTGGGGAGTGGACCTGTAGAATGGAAGATCAATTTCTCTACCTCTCTCTTTCTCTCTACAACTCTGCTTTTCAAACAAATAAATAAATCTTTAAGAGAGAGAAAAAAAAAAGGAATCATGCCACTCCGCCTTTCGTTTTACATAATTTATCACTAAAGAGTAAGAGCAAGCTCAATTCAATCACTGATGGAGTATTTTTAAATTGATGATGATGAGTCTAAGAAAAGTTTTATTAATGGAATATTTTACCAGGATACAAGCTCATGTCTGTTATTTTATGAAAAATAGGCTTCTGGGAAAATTCCTACATACAATCACTTCAAGCCCGTTTCCTATATAGTCTACATCCGTTCACCCAGAGAAGAACAACGAATTAACCTTCCTTAGGCACACACTGGTATCAGAGTACTAGAGTGGAGAAAGAACCATGATGGCGTAGAAACTTTTCAGCAAAATTCTGAGAGTCAGAATGAAAAGTCCTCCCACTGCAAATCAGTTGATAAAAATGAATCAGGAATGGAGCTGAAACTGCAATTGTAAGGCAGAGCAGGCTCTCGCGGGGCGGGGCGGGGAGGGGGGGGGAAGCACGGGGATGTCTGGTTATCTCTGATTTGCAGCGTTGTTCTCAGCTCTAATTACAGACTGGTCACGGAACCACCTTGTCTGAAACCAGTGTTGTCTGGGATCATTTGTGTCAAGTAGGGAACACCTGGGCCCAGGTGCTAATTGCACACTAGCTCCTATCTGACACCTGTGCTTGTTTTTTTTTTTTCTTATAGAATATATAAATACGTCCTGTAAGTCAATAATTAAACACATATACACACACAACCCATTTTACAGATAGTGAATGACAGGAACAATTCACAAAAGAAGTAAAAAATGAATAAACACGAATTGCTCAACACACCAACAGGGAAGTGCAAATTAAAACAGTAAAGCACTGTTGGTAAAAATTAAGTTGGTACAGCTTTCTTGGGTGAAAAACTGTCAAGCTCTATGAAAATATTAAATGTATGGGCCCTCCAACCAGGAATTACACTTCTAAAAATCATTCTCAGAGAATTACATGCACATGTAAGAAAAAATTTAAAAAAGGATATTCATTGAAGTGTGTTGTTAATAGTAAAACCTAGGAAAACTAAACTAGTAAAGTGGATTAAATGAACTCTGAAATAAAAAATAAACAGGTACCCCCAAAAGGACTACAGACCTTAGCTTACATTGATGAGCCATCTTGTGCTGACTTCCAATGGAAAAATGAAAGCCCCAACACAGCTACATAATCCGATATATTCAGGATTTCTTAACAAAACTTTATTAGAAGAAATGAAGCTGAGATTGCATTTTTCACAGAAGCCTTGCTTAGATGACATAATGCTCAGAGTGTGAATCCCAAGTGGAAGACAGCAGTCCCTGGCTACTTGTGGCTCCTAAGCACTAAAAACAGGGCCAGCCCTAACCAACATATCCCAGAAGGGTGAAAGATACACCAGTTTTTTTAAGAATTAGCATAATGTAAAAGAATGCTGGGGCCAGCATTGTGGCGATGCAGCTCCCTGCTAATAAGCTTAGAAGGCAGTGGAAGATGGCCCAAGTGCTTGGGCCCCTGTCACACAAAAGGAGGACCCAGATGCGGTTCCAGGCTCCTGGCTCCAACCTGGCCCAGCCCCAACCTCCTGTGGTCATTTGGGGAGTTGAACCATTGGATGGACGATCTCTCCCTCTCTGTTTCTCTCTTAGTATCTTTGACTTTCAAATAAATAAAATTTTAAAAACATTGAAAAAGGAATGCTAATTAGCTCATGAATAAACTTTTATCTATTATATGCTGAGGTGACAAAATTTTGTGTGGATTGCTTTAACAAAGTACATGCTTAAAATCAATTTGTTTCCTTTTGCTTTGTTAATGGCTAATAGAAAAAGTAAAATTACACAAATAATTTGCACTATAATTCAACTCCACTGAGATGTAATTCACATTACCTCTCTCTGCCTCAATTTCCTGATCTGCAAAATGAGCCTTATCAAGTTAGGCTAACAAAACTACACTCAGAGGCCTTGCAAGAATCAAATGACATGTTTTTTAAACAGCCTTTTTCCTAAGACCTGGATCACACAAACTAGTCCAAAAAATGAGCTATGACTTTTACCATCTGTTAATTTATTTGTAAATGTTCACCTTAGGGCACACAATGGTTTTGAATTGAGCTAAACTTTACAACTGAAGTTAAATATGATCCCTGCTGCTGTGAAGAGACAACTGGTTTCCAGAAAGCAAGCAGTAAATGAAACAAAAGCAGGTACCAGGGCAGGCACGATGAGCTTCACCGGTGCAGGCAAGGAGGGGGAGTAACGTCGAGCCTTCCTCACGGCAAACTTCTCGGTGGGCAGGGACTTCCCAGCAATTCTCTGCTTCAAGCCATCGACCTGCCTGGGAAGACCCCCAACCCCCGAGAAAGGTCGTTAGAACCCTGTTATTTACACCTGCGGTTGCCACACTGCACACGGCTCAGCAGCTGCACCTGGGAAACTGTTGGCACTGCAAAGCCCAGGCCTGTCTCAGACCTCGGGAATCAGCCACTGCCCAGTTAGGACCCAGCAAAGTGGATGCTGAGGAGGCCTGCAGGTGCATGTGAGGCATGCTCCACTGAGGGAAGTGCATTTCTTTCTATGCAACTTAGCTGATGACTTCAGTGGATCAAACACAGCCCAGGCAATCCAGGCAATTTCCGGAAGTAAGCACTAAAGAGTCCAAAGTATCTGTTTACACTGTGCATACCAGAGAGTGGGCAGAGGGCACATGGGCACATTTCCTGTTCCTGTTCCACAAGCATGACACGGACTCACAAAATAACAGGGCTCGGAATTCACATGTAATCTGAAAAATGTTTCCCAAGCATAGGTGAGTTTGGAAACAGCAGCTGAGGACAAGCACTGTGTTTACAAACTTCCTGTCAAAGTTCTAAGGAATTCCAACAATGTTCTTGGGAGCACTTTCTTATGAATAATTTTCTGAATGCGTCAAACAAGGTGCTGGGTAAAGATTCCAGGAAATACCCAATTACATCACTGACAGATTAAGATGAACTAAGAGGAAAAACCACAAGGAGAGAGGCAAGCTGATATCATGTTCTTTCCTGGCACTGTATGGGCTATGGAGTGCTAAACCACAACCCCCATCACCTGCTGTTCACGAATGTCAGAGGAGGAGTCATGGAAAAGTGTGAGGTGGGAGAGGGGCTGGAGGCATGGCTTAAGACAGGAAACCTGTGGTGCTAAAGATCAGAGAGTGGCACGGTAGGTTAATCCTCCGCCCGTGGCGCCAGTGTCCCATATGGACGCCGGTTCTAGTCCTGGCTGCTCTACTTCTGATCCAGCTCTCTGCTATGGCCTGGGAAGGCAGTGGAAGATGGACCATGTCCTTGGGCCCCTGCACCCAAGTGGGAGACCTGGAAGAAGCTCCTGGCTTTGGATCTGCTCAGCTCTGGCCATTGTGGCCACTTGGGGAGTGAGCCAATGGATGGAGGATCTATCAATCTCTCTCTCTCTCCCTCTTCAGCTCTGATTTTCAAATAAATAAACAAACCTTGAAAGAGAGAGAACTCTCATTGTTAGTGTTCTCACCTCAGTATCCTAACAATGCAGATGCTGACAGAGCAGACTTCAAACTTTCTCCCGAAAACAAGATTACATATTTCACAGAAATAATTCTGATACAGGGAAATCTTAAACTGAAGCAAAGGAAGTACAGGACGACGTGAAATATTTCCATGTATCTTAATATTATTGTTTGTGTGAAATGAGGGAATGCATTTTACCAGTAGGAGGTCACACCGATCACACCATGATTCTACTGTTAAGATACCTGGTCTTGTTTTAAGGAGAGCTTCCAAAAGCAGTTGTGAAAAAAAGATCGTGGGGGCCTGTGCTGTGGCACTGCAGGTAAAACCACCACCTCTTATAATCCAGCTCCCTGCTGATGGGCCTGGGAAAGCAGCAGAAGATGGCCCATGTAGGAGACCCAGAAGAAGCTCCAGGCTCCTGGCTTCAGATTGGCCCAGTTCCAGCTGTTGTGGCCATTTGGAAAATGAATCAGCCAATGGAAGACCTTTCTCTCTCTCTCTCTCTCTGCCTGTGACTCTGCCTTTCAAATAAATAAATAAATCTTAAAAAAAAATCCTGGTCATACCTTAGAGTTGGTTCGGATAAGTTAGTCAGTGAAGCCATAATTTCTCAAAATGCACTCATGGAATTTAGTATTCCACTTACATGGTTTGGACATTGAGCAATGCAGTGGGGTCTCTGCTCTTTGACTTCCTCATGTCCAGTGGTCATCCCTTCCTTTCGGCCTCAGCCATCCCCACACTCACACCTTAGACCACTTCATCATCTGCAGCTTCGCCACCTCTAAGCACAAAGTCAGGCACACTACCTTTGAAACACAACTCTCTTCATTCTAACTTGGTTGTTGTTCTATTAAGAATTTTAGTCCACTTTCAACTGTCTCCCTGTCCCTGAACACTCCTGCTGACGCTATACTGTCCATGGCTTCTGCACTCTCGGGCCTGTTTCCTAACCCCGCTTGTCTACTGCCTCATCACTGCACTGATCCAGCAAGAACCTAGCCCTGGATAAAGCTCAGTATCCTCCTCCCCTGCATCTGCAGTGAGAGCAGAAAATATCACCATGAACTCGTCTCCACCAACCTCAAATTTGTCCAAGCACTGCCTGGCATCCCCCTACTCAGTTCTTCTCACTGCCTTCCTGTCTACTCTCTGCAACAGTGAACTTGTCCTCCATCACCCTCAGCCTTCTCCCTTCTCTTTCAATCTCAACAGATGATCCTGCCTCCTATTTCATGAACAAATACAAATCCCCATTGCATCACAAGCCTGCCTGGCTTAGCACAGGTTCAGTATTCCTCTCCTTATGATACAACAGCCCTCCTCTTAGCCTTCCTCCTAGAGCAAACCAATCCTGCCACTAATGCTTTGGATTCTGTCTCTCTCTGCTTCTCAAGAACCTTACAATAACAACTATTTCATTTGTTGCTTGTATGTACAACATGCTATTCTCAACTGGATTCTCCCAGTGGGTTTAAAGAATGCTCAAAATTTTCCCATTAATATGATTTGACCTCACACCTTACGCCAACTCTCTCCCTCCTTCTCTATCCCTTCTCCTTCATGGTCAAAGGTGTCTAGGGCTATACTGATGCTCACTCTCTCCATTTATTTCTATCTCATTCACTCCTCTACCAACTCCAGTCTGCTTGCCAACCCCATTCTTATATCTTCTCAGAGTCCACTGGGGTTATTAGTGACTACTATATCATTTTTTTTTTGGACAGGCAGAGTGGACAGTGAGAGAGACAGAGAGAAAGGTCTTCCTTTGCCGTTGGTTCACCCTCCAATGGCCGCCGCGGCTGGCGCGCTGCGGCCGGCACACCTCACTGATCCGATGGCAGGAGCCAGGTGCTTATCCTGGTCTCCAATGGGGTGCAGGGCCCAAGCACTTGGGCCATCCTCCACTGCACTCCCTGGCCACAGCAGAGAGCTGGCCTGGAAGAGGGGCAACCGGGACAGAATCCAGCGCCCTGACTGGGACTAGAACCCAGTGTGCCAGCACCGCAAGGTGGAGGATTAGCCTAGTGAGCCGCGGCGCCGGCGACTCCTATATCATTTAATACATATTTTGTCTTATTTTGAAAATGAATACTGTGTTATGAGTGCTATGCACTGTGTTTTCAAGTGTTGAAATCCAAATCTCCTATGTGATGGCAGTAGGAACTACAGCCACTGGGAGGGAATTAGTTCAACAGAGTAGACTATCATGCATGGGAATAGTGACTTTTTAAGGAGAGAGCTTACACAGTTATTCAAAACAATTGAAAGGGAAGGAATCCTCCCAAACTCCTCCTATGAAGCCAGCATCACCTTAATTCCTAAACCTGAAAAACATACAGAGAGAGAGAACTACAGACCCATTTCCCTGATGAACAAAGATGCAAAAATCCTCAACAAAATACTAGCCAATAGAATCCAACAACATATCAGAAAGATCATTCACCTAGACCAAGTGAGATTTATTCTAGGTATGCAGCAATGGTTCAACATTTGCAAATCAATCAATATGAAACATCACATTAACAAACTAAGAACAAAAACCATATGATTATCTCAATAGATGCAGAGAAAGCATTTGATAAAATACAACATCTTTTCATGATGAAAACTTTAAGCAAATTGGGTATAGAAGGAACACTCCTCAACACAATCAAGGCAATTTATGATAAACCCATGGCCAGTGTCCTATTGAATGGGGAAAAGTTAGAAGCATTCCCACTGAGATCTGTAATGAGACAAGGATGCCCACTCTCACCACTGCTATTCAATATAGTCCTGGAAGTTTTAGCCAAAGACATTAGGCAAGAAAAATAAATCAAAAGGATATAAATTGGGAAGCAGGAACTCAAATTATCCCTGTTAGTAGATGACATGACCCAATATATAGGGAACCCAAAAGACTACACGAAGAAACCATTGGAACTCATAGTTTGATAAAGTGACAAGATATAACATCAACACACAAAAATCAATAGCCTTTGTATACACAGCCAATGCCACAGGTGAGAAAGAACTTCTAAGATCAATCTCACTCACAATAGCTACAAAAAAAGTCAAATACCTTGGAATAAATTTAACCACAGATGTCAAAGATCTCTTTAATGAGATATGCAAAACATTAAAGAAAGAAATAGAAGATACAAAAAAAATGGAAAAATCTTTCATGTTCATGGATTGAAGGAATAAATATCATCAAAATGTTCATACTACAGAAAACAAGCTACAGATTCAATGTGATACCAATCAAAATACCAACAACATTTTCAGATATAGGAAAAATGATGTTGAAATTCATATGGAAACACAGAAGACCCCGAATAGCTAAAGCAATCGTATACAACAAAAACAAAACCAGAGCCATCACAATATGAGATTTCAGGGCATACTACAGGGCAGTTATAATCAAAACAGCCAGGTACGGGAACAAAAACAAATGGATAGACCAATGGAACAGAAGAGAAACACCAGAAATCAACCCATGCATCTACAACCAACTTATCTTTGACAAAGAAGCTAAAATCAATCCCTTGAACAAGGACAGTCTCTTCAACAAATGGTGCTGGGAAAACTGGATCTCCACATGCAGAAGTATGAAGCAAGACCCCTACCTTACACCTTACACAAAAATGCACTCAAAATAGATTAAAGAGGCCAGCGCCGCGGCTCACTAGGCTAATCCTCCGCCTTGCGGCGCCAGCACACCAGGTTCTAGTCCCGGTCAGGGCGCCGGATTCTGTCCCAGTTGCCCCTCTTCCAGGCCAGCTCTCTGCTGTGGCCAGGGAGTACAGTGGAGGATGGCCCAAGTACTTGGGCCCTGCACCCCATGGGAGACCAGAATAAGTAGCTGGCTCCTGCCATCAGATCAGTGAGGTGCGCCGGCCGCGGCATGCCGGCCGTGGTGGCCATTGGAGGGTAAACCAACGGCAAAGGAAAACCTTTCTCTCTGTCTCTCTCACTGTCCACTCTGCCTGTCAAAAAAAAAAAAAAATAGATTAAAGACCTCAATCTACGACCTGTTACCATCAAATTATTAGAGAACACTGAAGATAACCTGCAATGTATTGGAGTAGGCATAGGCAAAGAGGTCTTGGAAAAGACCCCAGAGGTGCAGGTAATCAAAGCCAAAATTGATAAATGGGATTACATCAAATTGAGAAGTTTCTGCACTGCAAAGAAGCACTCAACAAAGTGAAGAGGCAGTTTAACCCACTACACCATCTGCAATACTGGCATTTCATATGGTCACAGGTTCGAATCCCAGCTGCTCCACTTCCAATCTAGCTCCCTGCTAATGACCTGGGAAAGCAGCAGAGAATGGCCCAAGTATTTTAAATGTGCAGGGCTCCTTCCTGCAACAAGGACCCCTCCTTGCAAGTCCTTTGCTGAAACAGCCCCCACTCACCACCTGAGCAGCTCTTCTCCATTTTCAGACCCATCTCAATCAGCGTTCCCTCTGTGCTCCCCTATACAGAGACTTGTGGGGGGAAATCAGTTGTGTGTGTGATCTTGCTGATATGTATGTGATAACTGCATCAATGTCTGATTTCACTACAAGGTTATGAAATCCACAGGACAAGGGTCACATCTGTTTATTCAGCATCTAGCACAGTCCCCTTCATACAGCAGATGTTCAACAGAGAGGGATATATGAAAACTGGTCTCAGTAATGTTAAACAGAGGGACTAGCATTGCAGCATAGTGGGTTAAGTTCGTATCCCATTTAAGAGTGCTAGTTGAATTCCCAACTACTCCAACTTCTTGCTAATGTGCCTAGGAAGGCAGGAGATAATGGCCCAAGTACTTGGGCCCCTGTCACACATGTGAGAGAACAGGATGGAGTTCCTGGATCCTGGCTTCAGCCTGGCCTAGCCCTGGTTTTTGTGGCCACTTGTGGAGTTAAACAGCAGGTGGAAGATTTCTCATTCTCTCTCCCTCTCTCTCTCTCTCACCCCCACCCCCACTAATAAACAAGTAAACATTTTCTAAAAAAGGTGTTAAATAGTTTACTTCGTAATAGAGTTTCTCGGAATCTTGAACATACTATTAAATGTCTAGTATATGTTACATTGTTCCTTAAGTTTATATTTATCTAATCACAGAATACCTTTAATTCACAGTAATAGGTAACATATTTTGGTAATGATACAAATTTAGGAAACTGTGTTCAAAATGTGGTAGCAAAGAACAATAACAAAATCCTTCATCCAGAACATAAATGAAATAATGTATTCTCTGGGGCAAACACCATGGCTCACTTGGTTAATCCTCTGCCTGTGGTGCCGGCATCCCATATGGGGTGCTGGGTTCTAGTACTGGTTGCTCCTCGTCCAGTCCAGCTCTCTGCTATGGCCTGGGAGGGCAGTGGAGGATGGCACAAGTGCTTGGGCCCCTGCACCCGCATGGGAGACCAGGAGGAAGCACCTGGCTCCTGGCTTCAGATCGGCGCAGCGCCGGCTGTAGCAGCCATTTGGGGGGTGAACCAACAGAAGGAAGACCTTTCTCTCTATCTGTCTCTCCCACTGTCTATAACTCTACCCGTCAAATAAATTAATTAAAAAAAAAAAGAAATAATGTACTCTGAAGCCACCAAGGATATCAGCATGCAAAATCTCCACAGAAAGATGACAGACTGACCCTGAGCTAAACATATTAACAACTTCCATATGGAATGAATAGGAAAGTTAAAGAAATATGAGAGTAAAGCATGGGACAACACCAAGGAATAAAGACAGAAGATGAATGTGTGCTCCTTTATACACCCGGCTCTGTGTTACAGGAATTGTTTCCCGCTCACCTGAACAAAGCCACCACATTCTCATTAGTGGCCACTACATCCTCTTCTGGAAGCATGCTCAAAATTGCCGCTTTCAAGAACACATATGTTGCCTTGAGGAAAAAAAAAGAAAAGAAGCTTGACATAGAAAGTCCCTAAGTAAATGATGTTTTGATCTTGAAAATCAGAAATGACCTACAAGTCTTCCAGACGTAAAACCAAGAGGCATCAAAGAAATCAAAGGAAATGCCGTCTTAGATTGCCTATTCCAAATGAGAACAATAGTCCTCAATTAATTTAGACCATTTTCCTAGTGCACAACTATGTCATTCATGGCTGAGAACACAACAAAATGAATAAAAGATCACTATCTCACTCCTTCCAATTTCTCACAAATGGATCAGAACTAACTTTGATGATCACAAAAAGCCTGATCAGCAGTACTGGAAAATCTACAAAAATTATCTGGACTACAGTATTAGATAGTATTAAAAATAAATGTGGTTTGTCTTTGGAGTTAAAGCTTCCTTGTTGAAAAATACATTTTGGATAGTTTTTAAAGCACCCAGTGCTGAAAGAAAAATGTCCATAAGCATAGTTGATGCATATATCCTCCTTTTGTGGATCTCCACATTGAGAAAGCAGAGAATGGGAAGCTACTGAACAACCAGCCCCATATGAAAACCATCCTGGTCGCTGATTAGCAAGCAGATGACATTCATGAAAGCACCGCACTTTACCTTGGACCATTTACTCTCTTTGCAAAGCAGATCTGAATAGTAATATGCTTGCATCCAGTTTTGCTGGAATACATTAATCCACATTAGCTCCCAGTAACAGAGATGGTGAAACTGTTTCCATTCTTCTTGAACTGAAATGCATTTTCGAAATATCTCTTGTGCCTATAAGTCAATTGCATAAAGCTGATCATCCAGATATTAGACAAGGAGATAATAACCTAATGGAAAAATACATAAAATACTTTGTACTAAAAGAACAAAATTATTACTTATTAAACCATTCAATATGACATTATGTTCAAAATGACAGTATGTTCCTTTCTGTACATGCAATGATACAATGAAGAGCTACCTCTTTATTTAACTTTATAAGGGGGCCTTGGCACTTTATGATTTGGGAGAGGGGCCTTTTCAAGTAAGATATAAAACATAGAAGTCTTTTAAGAAAAGACTAACAATAATAATGTCCTGAATTCTATTGGACAAAAAACAACTTAAAGTTACAAGTAATCAACAGCCTGGGAGAAGATACCACTACCTACCTAACTGGTAAAACATTAACCCTTCATCACCTTCATCATACAATTTTATAAAATCCTTTAAGAAAAAAACAACTCAGTGCTAAAGATATAAATTGACTTGGGGCCAACCTGTGGCTTATTGAGCTAAGCATCTGCCTGTGGTGCCAGCATCCCTTGTGGGCACTAGTTCAGGTCCCAGCTGCTCCACTTCCAATCCAGCTCCCTGCTGATGGCCCGGGAAAGTGGTGGAGGATGGCCCAAGTGCCTGGGCCCAAGCACCCACATGAGAAACCAGAAAGTGGTTCCAGGTTCCTGGTTCCTGACTTTTGGCTTCAGATCAGCTCAGCTCTAGCTGTCATAGCCATTTGAAGAGTGAACCACCAGAAGGAAGACCTATCTGTCTATCTGTAACTCTGCCTCTCAAGTAAATAAATAAATCTTTAAAAAAAAAAACAGATATAAATTGGCAAATCATGTGAAAAGATATACAAATGACAAATGTACATATGAAGAAATTTGTAAACTGCTAAATTAAAAAAATTAAATAGCCATTTTTTCAACCAGAGATAAAGTTCAGAGTTAGCAAACAGAATTGAAAGAAGCAGTCTCATATCTTTATACAGGAGTTTAAGTTGGAACAACCTTAAGTAAGGAGGGCATTTTAGCTTGGATTTATCAAAAGGCAAACATCTTTTGACCCAGAAATTAGAACAATCAGAATCTGGTATATATAAATACACCTGCACACAGAAGCGATGCCTAACAGCGCTGTTTCTAGAGGCCACAATCAACAGTGGACCACTTTAGCAATTATATGTATTCACCCCATGAAATGAAACCCAATCATCAGAAAGAATAAGGAAGATTTGAATATACTGACCTGGAGAGAGATCCAAGATGTATTGCAAACAGAAAAAACAAATTGCAGAAAAATATGTGTTTTTTTTTCTCATTTGTGTAAAATAAAACGATGAGTATATTTATACAAAAGGCACCTCATTCTCCTTCTATTTCAAGGAAATCAGTAATTTCCTTTTATGAGGCACCCACATGCAGTATAGCAGAGTTGCATCTTATGTGAGTCTAGATTCCAAAGTCAATGTGGAAAGCAGAAATTGATATGACAAAGTTTTCTGAAAATTCCTTAGATAGCACCTATTACTTTTTGGATATTTTGCCCTGAACTGCCTCACATATTTTATACGTTAAGTGCAGATCATATTCAGTATTCTATTCTACATAAATTAAAAATTTGTCTTTTTAATTACATTGCTTTTTCATTTTTGTTTAGGCCATATAGCTGCATTTATCTACGTCAAAGGAGTGTGTGGCTCAAGTCTAGCCCACAGTCACCTCCCCCAGGTAACGCGAGCAGATCCTTTACCTCTTCAACATTCCCCTTCAGCAGCTCAATTCGGGCATGATAGAACAACATGAGTGAGCCCTGTGGAGAGAGCAAGAACACACGCGGCTCAGCACGTGCACGGCGGAGGGACTGTGGACTGAAAGACACACTTGAAACGCCGGGCATACCTCTGGGAACTGCTGCAGGAAGGGTGCAAGGAGACGTTCTGCTTCCACAACATTCACTTCTCCTGTACCTAGAAACAAGCAGGGAAAGCCTCAGTCTTCACGTCACACGGTAGACATGTACAGCCAACACTTTAAGTTCATTAACATACAGCAAAGACCTATTCATGGGAAAGATGAAACCTGTCATTTTGTTGCTTTTCACAAATGAGAAAGAAAATAAAGGCAAGTAGCTCAATTCACAATAGCTAAGATATGGAATCAACCATGATGTCTGTCAACTGAAGACTGGATAAAGAAATTATAGTATACGTGCACCATGGAATACTATATAGCAATCAAAAAAATGAAATCCTGTTGTTTAAGCAAAATGGATGCAACTGGGAAACATTATACCTAGTGAAATAAGTCAGTCCCCAAAAGACAAACACCATATGTTCTCCCTGATCTGTGGTCAATAATAAAGAACCTAAAATGTAATCCATAGGAGTGAAATTGACACTTTGAGATACAATGACTTTGAACAGCCCCTGTCTTGTCTGTTGAAGAACAGGGTTTTTTTTTTGTTTTTTTTTTTTTTTCATGTTTTTTTTCCTCCACACTATTTGTTAAACTCTTTACTTAGTTTAGGGTTAACCTTATGTGTATAAAGTTAACTGAAAATAGATCTTAGTTAAAAAAAAAAAGAAGAATGGGAAAAGAAGAGGGGAAAGGAAGAAGGGTGGCAGTGTGGGTGGGAGGGAGGACAGGATGGGAAGAATCACTATGTTCCTAAATTTGTACATGTGAAATACATGAAATTTGTATATACCATAAATAAAAGATTTCTACATTAAAAAATTTTTTTAAAAAAATAAAGGCAAGCCTCACTTATGACTTCAGTTCAAGAAAGCTCTTGAACAGATACATGCTTAAGTATGAAGGTGGCTGCCTAAGAATTCTGATGGGACTCTGGCTTTAACAGCACAATTAGCTTATTTTGACAAAAATGCAATTTGCAGCAAAAGAAGAAATCTAACATGAATATGATAAAACATATTAACTTAATACAGAAACTTTAGCTGAAAGCAGATAAAAAATACTCAATGAAAGAAAGTATGCGCCGGCGCCGCGGCTCACTAGGCTAATCCTCCACCTTGCAGTGCCGGCACACCGGGTTCTAGTCCCGGTCGGGGCGCCGGATTCTGTCCCGGTTGCCCCTCTTCCAGGCCAGCTCTCTGCTGTGGCCCGGGAAGGCAGTGGAGGATGGCCCAAGAACTTGGGCCCTGAACCCCATGGGAGACCAGGAGAAGCACCTGGCTCCTGGCTTTGGACTGGTGCAGCATGCAGGCCGTAGTGGCCATTTGGGGGGTGAACCAACGGAAGGAAGACCTTTCTCCCTGTCTCTCTCTCTCTCTCACTGTCCACTCTGCCTGTCAAAAAAAAAAAAAAAAAAAAAAAAAAAAAAAAGAAAAAGAAAAAGGAAAGAAACAGTGTCATTTCCTCTGCCAAACATTCCCATGACAAACATAATAATTTTTAAACTGTTTACTTACTCAGGTGAAAGATAACCAACTTTCAGTGAAGCGTTATGTCACGCAGACCTTACCCAGAATGAGGGAGATGTAAGTGTGAAAAGCTAGGATGGTCAAGCAGCACAGTGGCGACCGCATGCTTCTTCCCGAGGCACCTTCCCTTAACTGCAGGAGGCCTAACTCCTGTGGGAATTCAATGCACTTTAGGAAGAGACCAACAAGGCGGAAAGGCTGTATTCAGAAGCTCCAACATGCAAGTTCACGGACACCTATCCTCCATAAGGTGGGGCTTAATATGACTAGAGGTCAGAATATAGGTGATGCCTAACTAGAAACGTATTTTTTTAAGTTTATGTATTTATTTTTATTTATTTGAAAAGCAGAGAGACAGAGAGAGAGAGAGAAATATCTTCTATCTGCTGGTACCCTCTGTAACAGCCAAGACTGAGCCCTAAACTCCATCCAGATCCCCCATGAGAGACACAGGGACCCAAGTGTTTGAGCCATCATTTGCTGCCTCCCAGAATGCATTAGCAGGAAACTGGATCAAAGGCAGAGCAGTGGACTCAAACCAAGCATCCTGATATTAGATATAAACTCTCTGCGCCACAACACTCACCCCCAAATTTTACATTGTAAACTGATATGAGAGTCTCACAAATCCTTCTATATCACACGATTCTAGGGGAAAGAATGAGGCAGTTTCACAGGAATGCTGTATTTCTTTGATAAAAATACTCATTCATTAAGACATACTGAGGATCTATGGGCAAGGCACTATGGTGGGTGTGAACAAATATAGTTCTACATCTTCAAAGATCTTTCCATCAAATAGGAAAGCTGGTCCACAAACACACACTCCTCTTAGAATATGGTGAGTACCATATGAAAGATAAATGACTATGAACGTTATAAACACTTGTGCCTCACTAGGGGAGTACCAGGGAACGCTCTGTGGAATAAAAGGCATTTATCTTGGCCCTGATAGATGGAAAAGCTCTCAAGAGAACATTAACTGGAAGTTGGGGAAGACATCCAAAAAGATATCCTGGATCCTCCTGAAGAATAACCAGTGGTCCAGTTTACCAGGAGTTCTGGGAAGGTAAAAGGTATGGGTAGTCAGGTAGGGAACAATGGTTAAAATCAGATCCTGGCTCCAGCTATGGACTCCATCTTCCTGCCACTGCAGAACCCAAAAGGCAGCAGTGATGGCTTCAGTGAAAGGGCTCCTGCCACCCACGTGGGAGACCCTGCGGTGAGTTCTTGGCTTCTAGCCTCAGTCTTGGCTCAGCCACAGATCCTGCAGGCATGTGAGGGGTGAGCCAGCAGATCCAAGCTCGCTCTCTCTCTCTCTCTCTCTCTCTGCCTCTCAAACAAATAAATTTATTTAAATCTAAGATTTAAGAAAAAGAAAAGAATCAGGTTATGGGGTCCATGTTACAGTTAGACTTTATTCAAGAAGCAATTTGGAACCACTAAAAGAGCAAGGTAGAAGACAAATGGTCACAGAGAAGGGTGGCCATAAGCATACAATGACTTATGAAGAACATGGACAGTGGAATAAACAGGAGAAAAACCACACCTTCTTGTACCCATTCTATCTATTCCTCAAAATCTCCCTCTTGGTTAACAGACAGCTGTTCCCATGTGGTACATTTAGTGTTGTGATTGATAGAAGTTTTAAACTTAGGACAAAACAATAACCATACAGAAATTTCACTCACGGAAAACAAATTTATCCCTTAGTTTTACAGGGAAACTTGTAAAAATATATAGAAATCCAAAATACTGTAATTATGCTTGGTCCATGCTATTTGATCCATTACAATCATAAAATATTAGACATAGAAACTTAGCCTAATTTCTTCATTGTAGAGAAGATATTTCTGGGATAGTTAAAATGTTAAGAAGGTGGGGCTGGTGCTGTGGAATGGCACTTGTGGTGCCACCATCCCATATGGGCACTGGTTCAAGTCCCAGCTGCTCTACTTCCAATCCAGTTCTCTGATAATGGCCTGGGAAAGCAGTAGAAGATGCCCAAGTGCTTGGGCCCCTATACGCATAGGAAAGACCAGGAAGAAGCTCCCAGCTCTGGACTGGCCCAGCTCCGGCCATTGCAGTCATTTGAGGAGTGAACCAGCGGATGGAAGATCATTCTCTCTCTGTCTCTGTCTCTCTCTGTAACTCTGCTTTCAAATTAAAAAATCTTTTTAAAAAATGTTAAGAAAGTATTTTTTAAAAAGATTTCTGTATTTATTTGAAAGGCAGAGTTACAGAGGGGCAGAGGCAGAAAGAAAGAGGGAGAGAGAGGAGAAGAGAGAGAGAGAGAGAGTCTTCATCCAGATGGCTGTAATGGCCAGAGCTGCGCTGATCTGAAGCTCCAGGTCTCCCATGTGGGTGCAGGGGCCCAGGGACTTGAGCCATCTTCCACTGCTTTCCCAGGCCACAGCAGAAAGCTGAATTGGAAGTGGAGCAACCAGGACTCAAACCAGTCCCCATATGGGATGCCGGCATTGCAAGTGGCGGCTTTACCCGCTATGCCACAGCGCTGGCCCCAAGAAAATATGTTTTAATCACACCAGGGTATAAAGATCCAGTAAACATCAATATTATTGAAATATAATTTTAACCCCAGAATTTTGGTAACAATGATAAAAAGTTTTAACTTTCAAGAGAGAAAACACATCTCACGCCTGAAAAATATGATCACAGACCAATGGCTTTTTATTGTCCTGAAAATAAATTGCCAATAAGTATTGCAGTCCTGAGGACCCAGGGCAATGCCTTTATAATTAGTCAAAGATACTTTCTTTTGCCTGTTAAAATTAAGATAAAATTAAATATGTACCCTGTTTCCAGAAAATCCAATGAATTCTAGCAGTCTGATAATTCTTGCTGGTAAAAGAGACAGCATCTGTTAGAAAAAAAAAAAAAAAAGCCACGTTCATTTATGTATTAGTGTATCTAAATGCAGACAAATATGAAAAAGAAACAAGCTTAAACCAACTGATATTACAATCATCGCATACTGTAGTTGATTTCTTGTAAGATAAGGAGCCTTAAAAAAAAAAACATTTAAAAAAAAAATAATGGCAAAAAGGAGCTTAGCCTTTCCCAAATTCTCTAAAGAACACTGGTTTCTTCATGGGAGATGATAGAGTGATGGGAGGCACCCCTGGGTACCCACTTCCAGAAAAGGTTTCCCTTAGCTTCTCTCAAAAAGCAAGAAGTTGCTGTAGTCTGTGTGTTGTGCAGGCACCACTCCAAGAGGACAGCCCCTCTCTGGGAAATTCCTGATAGAGAGTAGTGAAGGGAAAGTCTCCCTGTGAGCAGAACCTTGGTCAGGGTACCCGGCTCTGCCTTGTGCATGGAAGGAGGCAATGACATGCAGAGCCATGGAGTATGGCCCGGGGTCTGGCCAGATGATTAGGTACACAGGAGGAGCATGATTCAAAACCTGATGACAAGGAGTCTAGGGAGAGATGTATGGAAAGATGTCCCTGAATGGAGAGAAAATGTGAAGATATTTGTGTCCCATGTGAATTCTCACCTAAGAGTGACCTCAGCTGAGAAGGGCTTGAATACATAAGTAGGTAGGACAACCCAGCCCACGGATGTCAGTCAGTCTGTGACCCCAGCCACAGGCTCATGAACAAAGTGGCCACCGTAGCACAAGCACTTGTGTGTATGGTTCTCTTTACCACTTTATTTTCTTACCCATGCCAGTCAAATCTTAACAAGATATCAAAATTTCATTAAATGACAGATTTCCATTCTAACTCCTCACTTCCCTAGAGATCACCAAATACTACTCCCTGTGTTTTATGGTTCCTTCACCTATTTCCAATTTCAAAGTCGCCATTATCTTAGCAAAAATATTTCTCACATGGAAATGGAATTGTATTCCAAGCCTAATAGTCCATTCAGATTGCTATGTGGTTCCTTTATACTGTACAAGTCGGGGCTACTCTGAGCATGAACATTCACTCACAACACATACTGGCCATAGCCTCCAGAGGGGTCACGATGCAAAAAAAACAAAACAAAACAAAACAAATCCTGTTCTAGCCACTTGTCAATCAGACCAGTCAGAGGTTCAGGATGAGGCTTAGATCAGCCAATGAAAACCTTTAAGTTCTTCTACTAAAGTTTCTGGTTTCTATAAAATCATTTCCTTACCAAATTAAAGGCCCCAGTACCAAGCTTGACACCCCCTTCAAACTCATAGAAGAATTCTTGCTCAAGTTTGTTCTTCTGAATTACGTGCAGAATAGAAAGACATTCCCTGGAGTAAAGAAGAAAACTTACAGTGTTAGGTTGACCACGACTCTGAAATACATGCTTAATCAAATTGCATATTTAACATAACACACTATAATGAATGTCATGAGCTGAAATATTATGGGATTTTTAAAGGGATGACGCCACACTGAGTTTACTGTTAAAACTACAGGGCAATGATCACTAAGAAGAAAAGAGGCAGCCATTTTTACAGTGTTTAGAAAGAGCTGTCTGTCTTAGCTTAAGAAAAGAAGAGGGGGCTGGCGCTGTGGCATAGCGGGTAAAGCTGCCGCCTGCAGTGCCGGCACCCTGTATGGGCACTGGTTCGAGTCCCAGCTGCTCCACTTCCGATCCAGCTCTTTGCTATGGCCTGAGAAAGCAGTAGAAGACGGCCCAACTCCTTGGGCCCCTGTACCCACATGGGAGACCCAGAGGAAGTTCCTGGCTCCTGGCTTTGGATCAGCACCGCTCCAGCTGTTGCAGCCACCTGGGGAGTGAACCAGTGGATGGAAGACCTCTCTCTCTCTCTCTGCCTCTCCTTCTCTCTCTGTGTAACTGACTTTCAAGTAAATAAATAAGTCTTAAAAAAAAAAAAAAGAAAGAAGCCGGCGCCATGGCTCAATAGGCTAATCCTCCGCCTTGCGGCACTGGCACACAGGGTTCTAGTCCCGGTCAGGGTGTCGGATTCTGTCCCAGTTGCCCCTCTTCCAAGCCAGCTCTCTGCTGTGGCCCGGGAAGGCAGTGGAGGATGGCCCAAGAACTTGGGCCCTGCACCCCATGGGAGACCAGGAGAAGTACCTGGCTCCTGCCATCGGATCAGCGCGGTGCGCTGGCCACAGCGCGCCAGCCACGGCAGCCATTGGAGGGTGAACCAATGGCAATGGAAGACCTTTCTCTCTATCTCTTTCTCTCTCACTGTCCACTCTGCCTGTCAAAAAAAAAAAAAAAAAAAAGAAAGAAAGAAAGAAAGAAAAGAAAAAGAAAGAAAGAAAGAGAGTTCGGCCATCAGCAAGCACACCCAGGAGCTGCAGGATCCAAGGCCACCATCCCACAGCTTCCTTCAGGCAGTGTTTGACAGGAAACTTTGGGGGAGTGGTCAGGTCCTTGACAAATATATTTTTAAAAAGTAATAAGGAATAATTAGATCTCAGGTATCACCTGGTGTGATACAACTATATAATGTATGCAACTTCACTTATGATGTAGTCTAGGCAAACACATTTCACCTGAATCTTAGTGAAAGCTATATGGAAACCCTTTGTAATAATTCTGCAATTACCTCAAAGTGAAAAACTTAAAAATAAAAAGTTTAAGGGCATTTTTATTTTAGGATTATAAAAATATTTTCCTATATTTTTGTTGGTAGTCTTTTAAAATATTGTAATACTAAATATATATGGAATTTATCTTTGTATTAATGCTTTTTTCCTTCAATAAACAGTCAACTTTCTACAAGTATTTATTAAAAATATTTCAACAATTATTAAAAGTTTATTAAAATAATTCAATAAATATTAAATATTCACTAAAATAAGCACTTCAACAAATATAAATATGTATAAAATGAGTGTTAAACATTTAAATGTATAAATACTATATAAATAAAAATAAATATATGTGTCTCTACTGTTTTGAAAGAGAGTAATAAATATACAAGGAGTCTTCAAAAAGTTCACGGAAAATGTGTATTTTTGCATCAAGATAACTTTTTTTAAATTCTATTTTTCCATGAACTCTTGGAGGTATTTTCATAAATGTAAAATTCATTCAAGAGTTATTCCCTTCTTTCAAAGTCCAGCTCTTTTCCTGTTTCTGATTTTTTTCCCTTCACTTTCTAGTGCCTGGAAATAAATTTTAAATAGATATTTTGTATGTTTTTCAGAGTTTATAATTGTTATTTGTAGGAGGGCTAATCTACAGATACACTGTCACTACTGATGAGGCGCAGGATGAAAATTTCACATTCTAAGAGTACACTTTTACTCAAAATTATTTCATATATTTTTCATCCATTCAAAATCCAGAAAGTGTGGTTAGATTTCTGGAAACTGACATCCTGTTTTCAGATTTCTTCTTGAAATAATTTTTGAAGATATTAAAAGAAGGTTAAAGTGTTGATTGCTTTTGCAGTCATCAAAATTTAAACATAATTAAGAAAGAAATCAAAACAGTTCTATAACAGGAAAGGCATACAAGCAGACTTCAGAAATTCATGGAAAGTATAATTAAAAGATAAGCATTTCGGTGCAAAAATATTGAAACCCATGCACTTTTTTTTTCAAAATATATATTTTCCATGAACTTTCTGAAGGATACTTATATATGGCCATTCACCTGAAAGCACACCCCAATCCTATCAATCCTACCTGGAACTCAAACAGAAAGCCACACTCTTATTAGCTTATATGATGAGAGTACAGAGTTTAAGGCTGACAGAGTGGCTGCAAGCTAATGGGAAATTTTCCAAATATAGAAGAATCACAGAGAAGGGGAACACCAATACCCATGTCACTCAAATTCTTAGCCAACCCATGAATTATGTGAGTACTGGAGAGACTCCCAGCTGAAGTGGGAAGAGCCCAAACAAGGGACAAAACAATGGAGCAGAGACTCCAGATGCTGCTCATTGGGTACAAGTTAAATGCTCCTTGAACTAAAATCAGCACCTTCAGAACTAGCCTAACAGAATCTGGAGTCTCCACGAGGTACCAATAACTTGTGTGCCACAGAAAGAAAACTGGATATGAAGATAAACAGAAAAACATGATATACTGTCAAAGGAAAAAGCAGTTAAGAGAAAGCAACTCAAAGATGACCCAGATGTTGGGATAATATCCACTCTGCAAAAAAAGATGCTTGTAGTGAACAGCATGTTGGTGATCTACTGAACAAAACCAGGCAGGCTAATATGTGTAATTGGAGTATCAGAGAAGAGTGACAATGGGCAGAGAGAAAATACAAAGAAAGAATGACCACAAATTTCTCAAAATGACACAAAGGTGGCTACATCAAAGATAAACTGCTGAGACCCAAAGACACAAAATACTCTTCAAAGAAGTCAGAAGAAATGACATATCAGCTATTGGGGACTAACAATACAAATGAAAACTGCTCTCTGATCACAAGCAATGGATGCCCTAACACAATGGAAGGACAGTTTTAAAGGGCTAAGAATGAGAAAACCTATTAACTCAGAATAGTATACTTAACAAAAACATCCCTGAAAATGAAGGCAAAAGACATTTTCAGATAAATAAAAACAGAATTTTTTGAAAGCATATATACATAACAGAAGAAGTTCTTCAGAGTGAAAGTAAACAGGAATAAAGAATACAAAAAATGATAAATACAGCAGTGGAGTACATTTTATGTGACATGGTAATATATTAACTCAAGACTGACTATGATAAAGTAAGATGGATACTGTAATCACTAGAGCACCACCATCAAATGACAAAACATAGAGTGAAATGGCTAAGATGACAAAACAGGATTATCCTGGAATGTTTTAAAATTTTAATAAAGCAGAAAGACAATAAGAAGGGAGGAGGAAGAGAAAAAGCAAAATGGCAGTCCCAAGTGCAAACGGATCAACCATCCTCTTATATGCATCTATAAGAAATGCAATTTAAATCTGCAAACAAAGATTGGCTTACAGAACATACATCATGCAAAGACTAAATATAAGCACAAGTAACTCTATGAATATTAAACAAGACAGATTTCAAGACAAGGAATAATCAGAGTTAAATAAGGACATTTTGTAATGATAAAAAGGTTAATTCATCAGGAAGACAGAACAATTATCAACAGAAGTCTAAATATATGAGGCAACTACTGACAGAATTAAGGAAGAAACAGATGACTCCAAACTCAGAGATTCTAACATTGTGATTAAATGACAGAGTAACAGGACAAAAATCAGTAAAGATAGAGAAGATATGAACCACAGTACGGGTTCCTTAATTAACACTTCTATCTACTGCCGAAAGATCTGTTGGGCGGTGCTGCTCTAGTCCATGGACCAACGGCACACCTGTCATTTAAGGCTCATCAGTGGGCCTCAGGAGGAAGAATCTAAGGTTATATAATCAGTAGTGACCTTACTAGCTATCCTTTCAGCTGCTTCGCTCTTCAAATTGTACTTAAACTTAAATTCTGCTGTCCTGTGGCTCAGATTACATACTCAGCCAAAAAACCGAATGCATTTTTACTAACACCAAATTTAAAACCCTAGCCATACTTCTTTTATGAGAATTTGGAAGATCCAAATGGTATACAGCACAATAATCATTTAAAAGCCATATTTTACTTTTTAACTTACTTATATATTTGATAACTTGTTCTAATTTTGAGTCCACCCTTGATGAAGTTGATCATATTTTCATCCTGAAAATAATTCAATTAAATAATTAGATAATTTGGCAAAAACACTGAAACTGTTTCTACAGTTATATATTTGTGTGACTAGAAAATAAATCCAAATTTTTTTATAACATAATTTTTAAATTAACACATTCTTTTTATTTGGGGGGACTTTTACTTCTAAGTTAAGAACAACAAAATGAAAATATTTTCAAAATCCTTGCATTACTCTATATCATTAATGAAGTAATTCTTACCAACTAAAAGCCATACTATCAAACCTACTTTAATAAATAGCATCATCTACTTAGCAATGTTTTTCTTGGTTCAAACAGAATCAAAAATGATTAACCTTAAAGATCTACTCAAAGGGTAAACATTTCAGAATGTTTAAATTTAAATGTTTAAATGGGACTATGGCTTTTCTACCACAAGGGGCTTGAGTAGACTGTCTACTTAATATTGTGAATTTCATTCATACACATTTACAGGCCAAAACAAACTGGTCTGGTTTCTGAAGTGGCTTGTTACTAATATGCAATGTGGTTTCAGGGGGAAAAATCACTTTACTTCTCCTTGCCTGATGGTCATTAAGTCAGTGGCCTAGATGAATGTCATTTTCAGAGTCAGCATTCAAGAATCCCCAGGGTACCTCATAAATTATATACAATAGTTGCTTATGGAAAGCTACTCTGGTAGATGGTGCTAACGTATAGCCCATGTGTTGTATTTCCAAGAACAATGTTTTTCTGGTCTATCAGCATTCAGAAAGATGCTCTGCTATTTCTTTTCCATGCACCTGAGCATTCTTCTGAATGCAGAAGAAAACCGAAGATTGTTTACTAATTTCATCAATTACTTACATGCTTAACCATTTAATAAATACTTCAATAATTGTTTAATAAATATTTCAATAATTATCTAATAAATAATTACTGTAAGGACCAACAGATACAAAATTTACTACACAACTCAAATGTTTATCATCTTATTTTAAGTAATCTTATGATAATACACCTTCTAATATCAACCAGGAAAGAAATTTCTTAATTATCTGCCTCAAAAAAGAGTATCTCATTTCATGATTCATTAATACTTCTTGCACACCTATTGTACACCAGGCACCCAAATGTAAAAGCAGACGAAGCACTATCACATGCTACGGGATGGAGGCACACACAGGGATGAAGACATGCACGGGATATCATGGGAGCAACAGGCAGGGGCATGGAGAGAAGAAAGCTCACTAGAAGCATTGGTGCTTAGAGCACAAAAATGATTACACAATGGCCAGGTGGAGGAAGGCAAAACAGATGTGAACTTTGCAGGCAAAGGAAAATTCAGGTGGAAAGACAGGAAAGGATTAAAGATGATGGTGTGCTTGGCCATCTCTGCTAAAGAATCTACTGCAAAGAACGGATTGACCAATGAGTAAGAAAGCCACCAGCACCCATGCCAAGTGTGCACCACACCCTGCCAGTAGCTTCCTAGGATACCTGTAATGGGGGGAGTAGCATAAATCAGTGAGGGAGGCACCAGTTCCATGTTAAAAAGCCTCCCTCATTTGTGCTATTCTGCTACGAACACTGCCAAAGCCACTGAGTGCTACTGCTAAATTCTGAAGCAGAGAAACAACACGGCGCATCTCATCTTTCAAAGGGCATGCGATTGCAAAATGGAGAATGAGCTGGAGGCAAATGAGATCCAAGATATAGCATCACCGGGTTGCTATACAGCATGGGCAAGAGCTGACCAGCACATCTACTGGAGCAATGACAGAACAGAGAGGACGAGATGGGCTGTGAAACTTTCAACAGGCGAAAGCAGCATGAACATGAAGGCAACAAGAGATGGGGGCATGGAGAAGAGGGGAAAATCATGGATAGCTCTCAGATGTTTAACTTCAAGTCCCCAAGTATAAAATAAACCTTCAGATTCCAGACCTGATATCAAATCCCCATTTCAGAACACATGTCAGAAGGAAGGTTAGGCCTCTGTGACTATCATTATATTTACGAAGGCACTAAGACTGTTGTGATCAACCAGGCTTTACAATGTGCAAGGTTTTAGGACCACAGTGATTAGACTAAACCAGAAACCAACCTAAGAGGCCATCTTCCAGAAGAGAAAAGCCAACTTCCAAAACGACTTGAAAGACTGAGATTGAGGAAGACTTCTCCATTTTATAGTTGAGTTTCCTTCTGCCTCCTTTCAGTCTCTCTCTCAAGTTTCTCTCATGGTAGCCATCACTTCCACCCATGAGAGCATGATACAAAAAGCTGGTTTAAATACTGGAAGATAGAGAGCCAGAGGCAAAGTACTGACATTGAACAGTTTCTAGGGGTAAAGTTAAAATACTGCTTAAGAAAAAGTTTTGCCATTTGATTTAGTGACTTTTAAAAATCACTCTTTGAAAAGAAAATATAAAAGCAAGAACGGGGAATGAGAATAGAAGGAGGAGGAAAGTAAAATCTGAAGTATGCATGACAAGCGTGGCTATCTTTGCATGCGTAACTGAGCTCTGTGGAAGCAATGGGAAGGAATGGAAAGAGGGGAGGGTCAAGGGTTAAGGACACCTGCTGTGGCTGTGCCCCACCCTCTCTGTGGGCAGCCTTCCATGGTTAGCAAGCCCAAGAGGAATGATCTCACAGCTTTCAGGCAAAGAAGCATCCTAAAATTAGGTGTGGCAGTTTCTCTGAAAGGAAATGGAATCACAGTAGACTAAAATTCAAAATGGACTCCAATTGCCGGTGAGTGAAATCAAGCTCTCTGGAGTCTTTTCTTGGCCAAAGTTGACCAAAATAATAAACACGTTTCATTACCACTCTAAGGTAAAAGAACTAAAGCACCTACATAAAATGAGGCACATTTACGTGGTCCTGGCAGTCTTCCCGGTCAATACCGAATCTAAACCAAATGTTCATTACCTGCACAAACGTGAGCGCTGCTTTCTGTAGGAGACACTCGGCATAACAGATCTCGGCATGCATTTCCTCTATTAAAAACAAATAAAATTATATTAAAGAAAATCCCACCTCCACAGTAATTGTTCTGAAACGTTCAGAAAAGACGGGTAGATAAATGAGCCCATGAGAGATACAAAAACTTAGATTGCTATGGTGCTGCCACAAAAGCAGGGCCATAACCTCAGTTCCGAGTCCTTGGGCAGGATTTGCCTGGGAAGTGTGAAATGTTTGGGGAAGTCATCCTTGGCCCCGTTCAAACATCTCTGCAAAGGGTTGGGCACTTGGCGTCAGAAACCCAAACTCAGCTCGCAGGAGGAAGTCAAGATTCAAAAGCGCTTTTTAGAAAGAGCAAGCACTTACTTTTTAACGTAACAGCCACAGGAAAGTTTAACACTTTTACAAAAGGTTGAAGAACACTAAAAAAGTGCTAGCTTTAAAAATAGGAAGGTGTGACAATTGTGGCAACTTCTTGAAGAGAAAGCAGCAACTCTAGAGAGTTCTGTGCAAAAGCACTGCCCTGCAGGTCCAAGTCAGGATTCCTTCCGACTCACAGATGACATAAAGAAAGCACTAATCCAGTTTGGGGCGGATTTGATCATTCAGATGTCTCACACAGGAACAAGACACCCACAGCAAGGGGCTATGCAAAGCTACGCATATGCCAGGGACATATGGAGCCCCCAACAGACACTCCTACCTTCCTAAATAATTCAATATGCTTGCAGAGACAAAGGAGACACACTTTGCCTCCTATCTTTGCCCAAACACAATCAGCAGATGCTCACTTTATTTGCGGGGTGCAAATGGGTATGTTATTGAAGAAAATGAGCCTGGGGTATTGAATCCCCAGAGTGGAGGAGAGCCTGTGCCACGCCCTAGTTAGGGGGCCCTGAGGAAGCTACCCAACCCCTCTCTGCTGGTTTCTCCCTTCATAGGGTCCACTGAGAACATCTCCACCTCTCAGCAGCAGGATTACGGAAGGCCCTGCCCGTGGGGCTCACTCTGTGGGGTACGCACTTGATAAATGTTAGCTACTTTTACTAGACCGTAGCCCCAAGCCCATGTTGGTGCTTGGTGGTAAAAGCTCAGAAAACAGAAAGCAGTTTTATACCAAGTAAGTGGCTGAAAAACAGGGTATTTCTATGTTATCAAGAATGCTGCTCAATCAAATGAGGTAAGAATCAAGGCTTTCTGGGCCAGCGCCACGGCTCACTAGGCTAATCCTCCGCTTTGCGGCACCGGCACACCAGGTTCTAGTCCCGGTCGGGGCGCCGGATTCTGTCCCAGCTGCCCCTCTTCCAGGCCAGCTCTCTGCTGTGGCCAGGGAGTGCAGTGGAGGATGGCCCAAGTGCTTGGGCCCTGCACCCCATGGGAGACCAGGAGAAGTACCTGGCTCCTGCCATCGGATCAGCACGGTGCGGCGGCCGCAGCGCACCGGCCGCCAGAGGGTGAACCAACGGCAAGGGAAGACCTTTCTCTCTGTCTCTCTCTCTCACTGTCCACTCTGCCTGTCAAAAAAAAAAAAAAAAAATCAAGGCTTTCTTTCATCTGCACATGTAGAAGATGCCCCAACCAGACACATCAACCCACTGGCTCATAAATTGGTTCGGCTTCCTACTAGCATGCTTATATTCCAAATGTTTAATTCACAAAGAAGCAATGAGGCAGCTAAGATCCCCAAGGGCACACAGACAGATGGGGCCCAACCCCAGAGAAGCAAAACTTGAGGAGTTACAGCCTGTGCCATTCCAGCTACATCAACAAGGGTCTCGGTCCCGTGTGAGCCACTAGATTTTCTCAGCATGTTCAGCGGGACACGGACAGGTCATTTTCACTTGCACAATGTCACCCAAATACCCTCCTCCGTGAAAACTCTGTAACAGAATAAGAGTCATCAGGAACTGGTAACTCGGAAAGTCTGCTCAGAAGCATAGACTTCTGGCACGGGGACCCTGCAGAGAGGACGACGTGGAGTCAGAGGGCCAGCTGGAGGACAGGCACCCATCAGGCCAGCCTGCAGCACTGTCAGGGAGAGTCCAGCGGGGCTCCTGTGTCTGAAGCACAAGGGAGATCAAAGGAGGAGGGGACACAGAACTGGAAAGGTGAACGCCCTTCAGTGCAGTCAGTAGACTGCAGTGGGTCCTTGCAGAGATCTGAGCAGGAGGAGGGGGCAGATCAGGGCTAAGCTCAAGATGACATCAAAGACCGTATAAAGGATGCAACAAGAAGGCAAAGGTGGAAGACATGAGAACTTGAACTCTGTATTCCATGTGTATGATTTCTTCCTGTTAAATCCCTTTCACATCCTAGGTATTGCATGTAAAAGTCTGTTTTTAAAGGCAATATGAAACTCATCTGAGAAAACCCATCCATAAGCCATTGATAAGTGTTAGCCACTTTTACTAGATCGTTGTCCCAAGCCCACGTCAGTGCTTGGTGGTAAAAGCTCAGAAAGCAGCAGTCAGCCATGAGACAAGAGTGTGTTCCATGAACAGTTTAACAAAATACACTTGTGCAGAGAACTAGACACTAAAGAATGTAAATGGAAATCACCAAGAGGAAAAACAAATCGCATACTAAAGCTACAATGTTTTGACATGCTCTCTTGAACACAAAGTCTGGGTTGCAATGACAGCCAAACTCACTAAGAATAAAATGCAGCTTAATTTATAAAAGACTTACTCCTGCACTGCTGCTGATTCACGCTGGGCTGCTTCTCAGAATTAGCCATGGGAAATTTCCGAGTAGGTGCCTACCAGAACACCTCTACATCATAATTATAAAGTCCTTGGTCCACTAATGGAAGTATCTTCAGGAAGCGTGAAATGCTAGTTTAGCACAGCCTCTAGGTATAAAGTCTAAGTAAGCTTGCATTTCAGAACGGGCTACAGTCACAGCTAGTTTACTTTATAACAGCTGTAAAAAGTAGTTTTTTACCTTAGTCCAGATTTCCTAAAGTACCACTACTCAAAGACCTTACAAAAACCTAAGAATGCAGTATCATCTATTTTCAAGATGTCTTGAATATGGGAATAATTCAGTATTTCTCTCATCAATGGGGACACATTCTTGCCCTTTTTTGCCTGCCTACAGGATAGAGTGTAGGGAACATGGAAAGAGGTGTAGTTTAGGGAAAGCCTGACCAAGTCTAAACCAGCTCTGATACGTGGTTGGCCATTTATTTAACTTCTCTGAACATCAGCTTCTACTCTATAAAGACGTTACACAGATTATACTAGTAAATGGTAAGGAAAGCACCAAGCATTGGATCTGACACATAAAGTACTTTAAAAAAACAGAACATGCTGTTATTTTTTAAATTATTAATTATACTTACATCAAAAATATTCTTCCTAAAACTAAGATGTAAAATAAATAAATATATCTCTATCTATCTATCTATCTATCTATCTATCTATCTATCTATCTATATATTTGACCCACATTTGGCCATGAGGAATGACTCTGACAGCAGTATTCAGAACTGCTGTTGCTTTAATCAGCCATGCCTACATCTAGTATTTTATGCTACCTCTTCCAGAGAACAAGCTTCACAGGTACAAATTTTCTTGGAAAAGATAGAAGCTTTATACTAAAACAGTCACGTGCCAAGGACCTATGTTTCTTCCACAGGATTGTTCACTTGCTCTTTCCTTGTAAACCATCTGACTAGAGCTGAACATGAAACTTCCAGGCGGATCTCAGTGGGAACAGCAAGCAGTTGACAACAGGAGTCACTTCCTCCCATTCATCTGATTAGAGGGTGACAGCCATCCTTGGATTCTTGAATATTCCTGAATGCCTACAAATCAAGCATCCTTCATGTTGTGAAACATTATCATTGTTTGAAGGATCTCAAAATTACTTTTACCTTAGAATAAAATTTTAATGGCTTACCAAAAACTGAAAGATCTCATAGATGGACAGTAAGAATATAATCTGACCCAAGCCTTTGGAGGAAAAAATTGGGCAATATCTATGAATATTTTTAAATTTTCTAACCCTGAGACCCAGTAATTCCATTTTCAAGAATCTCTCTTATGATATACTTAGAAAAAATATATAAAGACATACGTACAAGACTCTAGGACAGCTAACAGTGAAGAATTCAAAAGAATATTAACTGTTCCCCAACAGAGAAAGAACAAGTAAATTACAGTACTTTCATCCTATGGGATACTACATAATTGCTCAACAGAACAAAGCAAATTCACACGTACTGACCTAGGAATAAATCAATGTCAAAATCACATTGTACAACAACATACATTATGTGAGCCTATGCTTATAAAAATAAACAATACATAAACCACAACAAAAACCCTTTGCGCGTTATGCATATGTTTGTATTTGTACACAGAAAAGTCGGCCAAGCCTCAAAACCAACTGTTTGTAGTGATGGCTCCTGGTGGCCGTGTGAGATAATTTCTCCACTTCAGTATTGAACTTCATGAAAATGATCACTTTCTTTTTCTGATTTTTAAAAAAAAGGAAAAAAATATCTTTCAAATGGCTCTCACCTTCACTCAGCTGCTCCAGTGACCCTCGAGAGAGAAGACTTGAAAAGGATTCTACAACTGTGCATTTCTTCCTGTACCTGCATTAAATAAATAAAGCAAAAGGGGAGATGGGAAAGAAAAAGAAAAAAAAATACAAAAACAAATCAGACTGAGCTCATTTTCACTTGACATTCACTTCAGTCCCAGTCACACCAGAGTCACCTAGCTGGAACCCTAAACCCTAAAGTCTGGAGGGCAGAGACCACTCTGTCCCTACACTGCAACTCCCAGCACTTAGGACCAGGCTGTTACCCAATCCTTGTTCACCCAATCCCTGTTTGTCCTGTGGCTAAACCCTCATGCCAGTGAACACCAAACTCGCAAAGCATTTTCCTTTATCTCTATGGCTCAGATCATTAGTTCTGCAGCAAGAGCCTCCATGGGCAAAAATGGAGTTACAGTACAACAGCTGGAAATTCTCTTCATTGGAGGGGTTTGCAGCCTCATCACATGAGTGAGGAGTCTCAACCATGTTAAAATTCACCAACGCTGGCCGGCGCCGCGGCTCACTAGGCTAATCCTCCGCCTTGCGGCACTGGCACACCGGGTTCTAGTCCCGGTCGGGGCACCGGAATCTGTTCCGGTTGCCCCTCTTCCAGGCCAGCTCTCTGCTGTGGCCAGGGAGTGCAGTGGAGGATGGCCCAAGTCCTTGGGCCCTGCACCCCATGGGAGGGTGCAGGAGAAGCACCTGGCTCCTGGCTTCGGATCAGTGTGGTGCGCCGGCTGCAGCGCGCAGGCCACGGCAGCCATTGGAGGGTGAACCAACGGCAAAGGATGACCTTTCTCTCTGTCTCTCTCTCTCACTGTCCACTCTGCCTGTCAAAAAAAATTTTTTTTTTCACCAACGCTAATAATAGCTTTTACCAGGTTCTTCCTATCTATACAGAGTAAAGCTTCAAATAAAAGCAAAATGCCATCTCATTTTGACCAACCAGAAGTTTTCAAATGTGTCCTTCTAAAAACGGATGAAAACATTCCCATCTGAATTGGAGGATCTAAGTCAAACAAGGTGCTGCTGGTTTGACGTGGCATGGACTGACCTGCAGTACCTAATCTCACCCACAGGCGGCCCTTGAGCGCTGCCTGCTGCTAACCCCACTGCAATCTCTCTCAAGCTCTCCGTAGGTCAGGTCTCAAACAATCAGAAAGAAAACTGAGAGGTATGAATGCCAAACAGGAATCATACTCTAATTCCTGATAGGAGTTTTTTTAACTCTGTTTCATAAAACTGCAAGGGGTCAGGAAGCTGAGAAGCTAAAGCTCTTTTCTCTAACAAACAGTGGCCAACTTCAACTCAAAGCTCTCAGGGGGCAAACAGCATGCATTGTGTCACACAGACAGGAAGGTGTGGCATCATCTCTCAAGTCTCTAATGCTGCAGGCGTACTTTTGGCAGGTTTGTAAAGCGTCCTTCATGGCAGAAATGCCGTTTTGGATGTCCTGTTGCTCGAAGGTCATGACAGCCTGCAACACCACAATGGTACTGTAGCCAAGCGCATGGTACATGCTCTCCTTAGCCCTGGGGAGAACACAGCGAATTAGTGCATTTCACTTCCACAGATGAAGCATTCCAGGCTCTCACTGATACCAAAGGAAGCTCTAAAAGAAATGCTTGTCCTGACTTCCACAGGTATAGCCTTGACTCCTCCATCATAATCATGGAAATGACACGGACTATGAAAGGCATGCTTTTAAGAACTCAAGTATCAAGGACTTTCCCATTTATACCCACACAGGCAGAACAAAATGTTCCAGGTTGAAGTGGACAAATGCTATTCCCTGTTTCAGCACTAGGGGGCAGCCTGCAGACTCTCTGTCCAGGAAAGGTTTCAAGGCAAACCAGTATTTTCCAGTTGAACAAGGGACAGTGTAAGGTCAATAGGTCTGAAGTTAGTGCTAAAACAAAGGCTTCTGGAGATGTATTGTGATGGGAAGATTCTTATATGTTTCTTGAAAGGTAAAGACTCATTTAAAATCATCTTCCCACCTTCCTAGGCAAAGGCCAAGAGGAAGCAAGATTTTTGCAGTAAATCAAGACCAGGGACCTCAACAAAGGCAAATCTTAGCTTAGATAATGCAATAATCTAATCACATTACCTGATATTCCTGTCTAAGGTTCCTGATCATTCAAATGACCAAGTTATCAATGAGAATTACTTCAGGATTCTAAGGGTATGAATTAAGTTCTGGATGAATCAGACATCCAGACTCACGGGCTGTGAAAACCTCACAACCTTCTCAAAACCTCTTATATTAATTATCTAGAACGTCTGAAATATCAAGGCAGGCTTGTGTTTTTAACTTAAATATGAATGCACAACAGCCTGCTGTTCCACAGACTACACTCAGGTCACAGAAACTGTCCAAGCATCCTTGGGTCATCTGCAGGTTGTCCTGAGAGGTGAGGAGCCTGCCTGTGCCAAAGAGCCATGAGGAATAATAAGAGCAGCACAAAGTGAATCACTAATTGTGGTTCTAAACCTCACATTTTTAACAAAAAAAAAGGAGGGGGTAGGGGAGTAGTATTTTTAACAGTGAAACATGCATAAAGACCAGATTATATAAAACCTGACCAGATTATATAAAAACAATACTGATCATTTATTTTCATTGCATATTATCTCCAGCCAGTAGGTGTCAGTGGCAGAGGAGATTTGCTTGAATAAAAAAAAAAAGGAGATAGAGGGAGAGGGAGAGGGAGAGAGAAAGAGAGAGAGGGAAGGAAAGGCACACAAGACAAAGGGGAGGGAGAGAGACTGAGGGACTAAGAGGGAGGGAGGAGGGAAAAGGCAGGAAACAGGCAGAGGGGAGGTTGTGAATCTACTACCTTCGACTAGGGCCTCATCTATTTTATCACTGGTTCTTAGCTTCTGAAATACTAAAATAATCATGCTCACAACTATTCCACATCCTAATGGAATTACCCCCAGGAGCTCCTCAGGAGGTAAATGAACCTCTGAGATTCAAAGGCAATGACTAGAGTCAGGTCAAAGGAAGGAAAGGAGTCCTCATTAGGTATGCAAGTAATGTTCTAGAAAATCATTACAGGAGGTGCAAACTTCATCCAGAAAGTGACCATGCTAGAAGGTATAATGTAGATTATTCCTGTCCAGCTACAGTCACTGTAGAACTGGTGATTAGTCAAGGTAAGGGCACTAAACAAGGCTGAGCACGGGTCTTGTTGCCATGTTTGAAAATTAACAGGTCCTATTAATTAAAATTAAATTTGTCACATAAATAGGGAATCTCAATAAAATTCTTAAATTTTTTTTAGCATTAAGATTAACATAGTTTATCCTCTCCTTGTTTCAAAGGAAATTTTTCTTAGTAATATTTAAGAGGAACAGTAATAACGATAAATTTGAAGAAATAAAATTGGAGTCCTATAAAACTACAGAAACAACAACATTTTAGCAAGCATGGAAATGAAAAGTTGAAAAAGAATCAGGAATCTTCTACTTACAAAATTTGAAAAGACAGAATTCTTAGCTGAACTTTAAAACACCGACAGTAATAGGTCTCAATCAAATTAACTTATAAACAGGTGGAAGCAGATAAATTAACTCATAAGCACAACATCAAAGAACTATCAGAAACATCTGAAAAGTTTTTATTAAAAAAGTTAGTTACCATGGACGAAGCAACTCTAAGGCATCTGTAAATCTGTTACTTAGAAATAAATTCAAGGCCATTGCACATTCTTCTAAGCCACTCTTGAGATCCACCTTGGCTGACGATGAACTGAAGATCAAGAAACAAATACACTGAATTTCATTGCTTTTCTATTAGTAAGTTGTCCAAGTGAGGTATGCAGGGCAGGGAGCCAGGGAGGGACAAAGAGCTAAGGACCGCCAACCCCAAACCATGCGCATGGTCTAAATCCTATCACCTTCCATGCCTATTCAACATGGCTGACAACTTGGCACACCTACCCCTCATCATGCAACTAAGCCCCACTTTTCCATCATGCACCAGATGCCATGACACCTTCCTGGAGACCACTATGCGCACAGCAGCCCCACCCCAAACCCTGCCTCTTTTGAATCACTCAATCAGGCCCTGCCTGCAGTACCCTTTACCCTCTAAAAAGTAAGACCCCAGGGCTAGTGTTGTAGCATAAAAAACTCCTGCCCAGAACCAGTGCTTGTTGAAAATATCCAACATGGCTGTTGGCCATGTTCTCACTATCACCTATGCCTATTATAATATTATCATAAAATTATCATGCCTAACACTCCCATCATGCACCTGATGCCATGATACTTCTGAGAGTTCTTTAAAAGGCCAGAAATTGGGCAGTCACCAAATCACTGGAAATCCCTATCCTTTCCTGGAAAACTCTACCCAAGCACCAGCTCCTGTGCTGGTAGATCACATATATGGTTGACCTCAAATTCCATAGGTGGCAACCTACTCTGGAACGTGCACTTTGCTTTGCTAATAAGCCGCATTCCTCTGCTAACCTTTATGTCTTGTCCTAGAATTCTATCATGTATGGCAGATGAGAACCTGGAACCCTTGCCCAACCTCCTCCCCAGCTAACAGGCTGATTTGGCAAACAAAAATCTTAACAAAATAAACTTGAAAAGTTGAGTTTTCATGCCACATACCGTTCAAACTCATTGTGTGAAGCATGAAAGCAAAATCCCACTTCAGCTATTCATCTATCAGAAATAAGCTCTGAAGGCAACCCATGCAACTATGCTCTGCTCCCAGGTCTCCTTATGGGTCCTGTGGTTACACAGATCTTAGCTAATGCTGCACCAACTCAGAGCAGCCTGGCTGACCTCCCCCCCCCGCCCCCCCCCCAAAAAAACCTCACTGCTTTCTCTCCATACCACCCATTATCATCCAAAAGTTTCTTGTGCATGTAAAGTACTTATGGACATATTGTCAAGGAGGTGGTTTCAGTCACTGCTGTCCCACCAGTGCCTGCAACAGTACCTAGAACATAGCACATGCTGAATAAATGATGACTAGAGGGGTGAGTGGGTGGCACTGCTCTGTAGAGAGAGAGAATCTGCTTAGAATTTAAGGTACCTCTCCCCTCGGGTATAGCAGACCTGAAACAAGCTCTTAACAGAGGGGCAGCAGCCAGAGAGCTAGACACTGCTTTCCAGGGAATGAAGAGTTCAAACGAGAATGCCACAAGTTTATAGGTAGGACTTTACAAGGAAGTTGCTTAATATCTTCCATTATCAGTCCATCACCAGCTTCCATCAGTATCACCTCCTGAACATCTCCTGATTTGTCCTATTTCTCTCCCTCCACCTAGTCCCAGTTAGCTCTCATGTGCTGCCCGGAGTCCCCAGGTCCCTATCTCCCTATCTCCACTACCTATCCTGCCATCAAATCTTTACCTGGAATTCATTCAACTTTTTAAAAATTTATTAATTAACCAATTAATTTGAAAGACAGAATGACAGAGACAGCAGAGGAAGGGGGAGAGACAAAGAGAGAGAGAGAGAGATCTTTCATCTGCTGGTTCACTTCACAAATGCCTGAAACAGCCAAGGCTGAGTAAGGCCAAAGCCAGGAACCAGGAATTCCATCTAGGCCTCCCACATGAGTGGCAGGGGGCCAAGCACTTGGAGCATCATCTGCTGACTACCTAGGTGCATTAGCAGGAAGCTGGATTGGAAGCAAAGCAACCAGAACTGAAATCAAGACTCCAATATGGGATGCCAGCATTACAGGTACTGGTTTAACCCACTGTGCCACAATGTTGCCTCTCATTCAACTTGTAAAAGAAATGTAAAGTTGTCAGAATCAAAATGGAGTCCCTATGTCAACACTAATAAAAATAAATAAAGCCAGGGGATTATGATGGAAGTGTTCTTGCAAGTAATTGCCTCATAGAAACTCTTACAAAAGACTCTGCCAGATCCACAACAATACAAAGAAGCCACCACAGCTTTATATAAAAAGTAGTTCCACAAGGACATCTGCCCAGTAACTCTGTTCAACCTTACACTGATGTCACCCTGGTTATTAATCATTGAGTACAATGACTGAAATGCTTCAAAACATCTGATGTAATCCTCATTATTTTTGCCTTTAAAAACTTCTCCTTGCCTCAATCCCTTTGAATTCACTCCTAATTTACTATGGCATGTGTGTTCCCTTTGCATTGGTCTTCTTTTCACAAATACATATCAGCATTCTTTGAAGAAAACCTAATTTTTTACATTGCAAAATTAATGTTTCTGGAGTGCTAAATATATGCCAGGCACCCTTCTAGGTGCCAGCAATACCGCAATGAACAAGACACAGGATTAAAGGCTCTCAAGGAGCTTGTATTCTACTAGGGAAGGAAAGGCAGACTTGTACAAGTAGACCAATAACAAAATCACCCCAGCTTGGGATAAGAAGTCTGGGGCGGAACCTGGCTAGGAAGGGATGGGTGCATAGAGGTCCAATGTTAATGAACAGTCATGAAAAGCTCTCCAAAAGGTGGCACCTGAATGCAGTACAGTGGAGCCACCATGGGCATCTCCAAGCTGGGAATGAGGCAACTAAGGCAGAGAGCAGGGGGAAATAAGAACAGAACACAAGTAACCAAAACCACCAGTGGGAGAGAAGATAGATTTTATTCTAAGAACAAAGAAACACACTGGCTCAGAAATCCTCACTCCCTTTCTCATGGCCCCTTCCCTTTAACTATGTATTAGATTTTCCACTCTTACTTGCCACCTGTTCTCTCTAAGGTTACAGCTCTTCCTTTATTACCAGGAAATGGACTAAGAATAGATACCAGTCCCCTTGCCAAACAAGCCATCACCTCTGCATCTCAGCTGGCCACACCGCAGTGTGGGAGGATATATTACACCTGTGTATTTCACCTGCTCCAGCTCAGAGATAAACAAAGGGGGATTCAGCACCTGCACACAAGGCAAATTCAACCTTTATGAGTGATTTACCATGCAGTTCACCTGGAACTGCCACCATCAACCCCTTCAGAATGGCTGTGCTACCACATATTCTGCAAGGAGTGGGAGAGCAACTCTGATCTTGGCCGGTCCTTCTCAAGTCCTTCTCAAGCATCTCTCAAAGGCTCTCGCTCCTCTTCCATCACTTCCAATCTGAATTCCGAAACACACTCCTGACTACTCCTGACTATTCCTTCTTTCTGTTTCTCAAACTGCAGTGTACATTAGACTCACCTGGAGGGCTTGCTAAGCAGACTGCTGGGTGCCACTCTCAGTCTGCCTCAGTAAGCCTGGGGTGGGCCCAATAAGTACCCAGATCATATTAATGCTGCTTTAATTCACCTTGGATACCATTCTCAGACTGCTCTTCTCTTCCCAAAACAGATGATCATCTTACCACCTCCTCAGATTAAGAACCCAGACTGGCTGCCATACATGCCATAGAAAGCTGGACCTCTTCACCTCTCCATGCCCTGGAATTCTGGCCCCACTGCACCTGTCCAAACAGACTGGTGTGGTGAGCAAGGCTATTTTACAACAGCCAAGTATCTAGCAAGAAGCTCATCAACGTGGCACACCCTTCAAGCCTAGTGGGATGGAAGGAAAAGTTCCTGCGCTGAAATCGGAAGTCAACAGTGCCCTCCTCTTGCCCAATGACCTTCAGAAGTTGTGTATCTTGCCTGAATCCCTTGCCTCATCTTTGACGTGCCCCAGTGTCCTCCCAGTGGGACCTGTGACTGAGGAGAAACACATCAGGTTAAGATGCTTTAGTTCCCGGGCAGCTTAATCACACAAGAACCACACCCACACACTTCCTGTCCACACCTAAGCTTGGCTCCACATCCAACCATCCCTGCAATACGTGCTGATTGTGCACATGCCTGTGAAGACTGCCGATTAAAACCCAGAGCAGGAATTTTTATTGTTTAGTTTTCTGGAAGAAAAAAGCTACGGAATCTGCAGATAAACTTAACACACCACGTCCACCCCTTCTCCTCTCACATAAGAGCTTCGAGAGAGTTGGCACTGACTCTTCTCCTTCCCCACCAGCCACTTACCTTCCACCACCAAAACCTGGCTCCTGCCCCAATTCCTGACGCCCTCCTCGCTGGGTCTCTGAGGACCCAGCTTCAAAACAAAAGGATGGATACTTCCCACCCCATACTGGAGCAGACATCTTTGCAAGCCCTGGCTCTGCTGCCCCGACTCCATAACTCAGCCCTCCCCAAACTCTCTGTGGCCACCATCTCCTCCGGTCTTCCTTCCTCACACATGCATCTCTGTAGCTCCTGCTTCTCCACTGTCTGTGTTCCTGAAGGTTCCTCCCTCCCACCGCTCTCTGCTCTTTCGGTTTGCTCTCTCTGGGAAACAGCAGTTGCTGTTCATGGCTTCAGTAACTACACACATGCTAAAGATGTGTTGTCTACAGATCCAGCCCCTTGCTCTCTGTGAGCGCTATGCCCTCATTGATTTCTGGCTTCTGTAATTTCTATTTATGTTATTAGAGCTTTCAACTTCACATTATAAATAATTGATGGATTAGTTACCTAGGAAACCATCACATGACTTGGAGAATAAGTATGAGACGCAATGCTTCTTTCTGAAGAAAACTCAGACTTCCACAAGCGGGGACAAAAGGTAATGTGGAAGTGTAAATGTCTTAACTTCATTTCTATTCTTCAACCCTTTCTGTCTGTCGTGAGGGTACAGCCCTAAGGCACGCTGCCAAACACATGAGTATCACAAACACACACGCAAGTAGCTAAATTTCAAATGCAAAATCCAAAATACTGTCTACCTTTAGAAGTTTAACAAACCCAAAAGGACTAGGGAAAGTACAGTACTTTTTTGTGGTATAAAACTGCCTTAACAGAGTTGCTTTAGTAACTCATAAAGAAACAAAGAAAATTTCAAAAATCAATTCTAAAATGGGCTGGATGGGACAGTAATTAAACAAATATGATATTGCATGAAAATATCTAATTGAAAAGAAGAATGATATAGTATCTTAAGCTTAAAAGGCAGATTATTAAACAGAATACTTAATATGATACCAATGGGGGGCTGGCACTGTGGCGTAGCAGGTAAAGCCGCCACCTGCAGGGCCAGCATCTCATATGGGCACCGGTTTGTGTCCTGGCTGCTCCACTTCCAATCCAGCTCTCTGCTATGGCCTAGGAAAGCAGTGGAGGATGGCCCAAGTGCGTAGGCCCCTGCACCCACGTGAGAGACCCAGAACTACATGGGAGTACCCGGTTCCTGTCCCTGGCTCCGGCTCCTCCACTCTACATGGGAGTACCCGGTTCCTGTCCCTGGCTCTGACTCTGTCTTTCAAATAAATAAAAATAAATCTTAAAAAAAAAAGAGGGGGTGGTGGTGGGAATTTAACCTAGCAGTTTAAGATGCCTGGCTCCGGCTCCTCCACTCAACATGGGAGTACCCGGTTCCTATTCCTGGCTCCGGCTCCTCCACTCTACATGGGAGTACCCGGTTCCTGTCCCTGGCTCTGGCTCCTCCACTCTACATGGGAGTACCCGGTTCCTGTCCCTGGCTCCGGCTCCTCCACTCTACATGGGAGTACCCGGTTCCTGTCCCTGGCTCTGGCTCCTGATTCCAGACTCTTGCTAATGCAGACCCTGGGAGGCAGTGGTGATGGTTCAAGTAACTGGGTTCCTGCCACCCACCTGGGAGACCTGGACTGAATTTCCGGCTCTGGCCCCAGCCTGGGCTCTGCTGCAATGAGCATTTTTCCTTCCTTTCCTCCCCCTCTCTCGGTTGTCTGCCTCTCAAATTGACAAAAATTATTTTTTCAAAAATAATAATATCTTAAAAATAATATCTTAAAAAATTTTAAGATAAAAGATTCAAAAGGGAGTCGTGTCCCCAAAGCTGAATTTAGTTTTGTTTCTGCTCTTAATGTAACACTGGTTCGCACAGCAGCTGCTGCTCTCCTTTCTCTAATCTGCAAATGGTACTGCACCTGCCTCAGCCTCTCCCTCCCCACTAGTGTGTCAAGTACAAAGCACTGTGTCCACCAGGATCACCTTCCCCCAAAGAATGGGCTATTGTCCCCTGGTGCCCTGGGAGTGCCCCCACCACCGCCTCCTGACCTGCTCCCTTGAGAGCCTCCGAGCTGTCTGGATGTGCGTCTTGTATCGTAGGATGCAAAGTGAAGGTTGCTTGTTGCCATATCGGAGTGAGGTGAAGATCTGTTCATGAAAAAGGCAGAGTGAGGCAGTTATTTCTTTGTACAGCAAGGAAAGACCACACAAATACAAGCCCATAACACGAGCCCTCCAGCAATTCTGTACAACTCAATTTTATGTCTTACCAATGTTGGAAATCAAGGAACACAAGTCTGTCATTGTGCTTGGAGCACTTCTGAAGGGCACTGCCACGAAATAACTCACTTCTGTTTTTTTCTTTTGTACACAAAACATGAACTGACATACTCAGATATATCCTTCTAGATCTCCTCCCAAGTAAACCTACAGATATTTAATTTAAATTGTATTAAAGATAATTGTTATATATGTTTCACTAAAAAGGAATATTATATTTATATTTACCCGTTTCCTCTCAACAAACACAGTTGCTTTATCCTAGTGTTTGCCCAGCATTCCACTGCAGGAAAGTATTGTACTTTACTTCCTGTCCCTCATTGCTGGGCACAGCAGTTGCCCCCACGTTTTTGTTTTTATAAGCTACGATAATGTGCCCCTTACCCATCTGGCCTGATTATTTCTTGAAGGTAAGTTCCCAAAATCAAAGTCATGCATTTTATAAGTTATTTTGGTTCTAATAAACTGTCTGATTCCCCATTTCATGTGCACCATGGAGAGCTGAAAAGTGACACAAAGGTGAACGTTCATGTGGTTTACAGAATCATAGATCCAGATGCACTATGACACAAACCAAGGTGGGCAGAGCCACTCCAAGAAAGAAACTTGCAGAAAGATTTTTACAGTAAGTCCTGTGTGGTATTATAATAAAATTGCCAAGCTCCTCCCACATCCATTCATCTAAACAGTGCACATCGCATAAAAAAGAGCTGGAGTCATTAACGGAAGAGGCACAGAAAGCGGTCCTGTCTATTCCTTTGGGGATTTCTTTTTTTTTTTTTTCTTTCTTTTTTTAGTTCTAAGACATGCAATGCTCTCAGTTGAGCTTAACTATATCCCACCTTTCAGACGTTCCAATGCCCTGTAATATATAATGCATTCAGCATTTCAGCATTCATCTTATCTCGGAGACTGTCAAGTTCCATAAATTTTATACATCAGGAAGGGGCAATCAATGTTTTCCTTGCAAAGAGGGTTGGGCACAGGGTGGTGGGAGAGAAGAAAATTCCTTGGGCCGGCATTGTGGCACAGCAGGTAAAGCCATCCAATGCTGGAATCCCATGTGGGCGCAGGTTTGAGTCCCGGCTGCTCTATTTCCCATCCAGTTCCCTGCTAATGTGCCTGGGAAAGCAGTGAAGGATGCCCCAAGTGCTTGGGCTCCCTGAAACCACGTGGGAGACCCAAATGAAGCTTCTGGCTCCAGGCTTTGTCCTGGCCCAGCTCAGGGGCAGTGAACTGGGGCGGTGAACCAATGGATGGAAAATCTCTCTCTGTCTCTTCCTCTCTCACTCTCCATAAATCCGCCTTTCAGATAAACAACGTAAATCTTCAAAGACGGAAAGAAAACTGGCTGGCACCGCGGCTCACTAGGCTAATCCTCCGCCTTGCGGCGCCGGCACACCGGGTTCTAGTCCCGGTCAGGGTGCCGAATTCTGTCCCGGTTGCCCCTCTTCCAGTCCAGCTCTCTGCTGTGGCCAGGGAGTGCAGTGGAGGATGGCCCAAGTGCTTGGGCCCTGCACCCCATGGGAGACCAGGATAAGTACCTGGCTCCTGCCATCGGATCAGCGTGGTGCGCCGGCTGCAGCGTACCAGCCGCGGTGGCCATTGGAGGGTGAACCAATGGCCAAAGGAAGACCTTTCTCTCTGTCTCTCTCTCTCACTGTCCACTCTGCCTGTCAAGTAAGGGGAGGGGAGGGGAGGGGAGGGGAGGGGAGGGGAGGGGAGGGGAGGGCAGGGGAGGGGAGGGGAGGGGAGGGAGAAAACTCCGCAGAGGAGGGTAAGTGTCCTTTGAAAGCAGGTTACCTTCCACCACAAAACATTTCACTAGGAGGACAGAAGGGGCACTTACATAAGCAAGACCCCAGGGAAGTGACTTGTCAACTGTGTATCAGCAGAGAAAGGATGCCACAGATTAAACAGGCTGTCTACCCTTTTGAACTACTCTGCCCATCTGCTGTCTTAAAGACTCATTAGTGAGGGCTGGAAACACAGGGTCTCTGGAATGTATTGGGAAAACACCCCCATTCATTGCTGACCTTTGGCTTTAACCATAAGATTCTCATCAATGTTATCACAGTTTCCCTTAAAGTTTGGTTGTGAGGGGGTACTAAAAGCTTCCTTCTACAGAGATCATATAAATTTTACCTGTTAAATAAACCATATGCCATTATTTTTATGGGTAAATTTGTAGATTTACTTCTAATTAGAGTATACGACACAAGACAGTGCATTGCATTTTTTAATAATCTTTTGCAATTTTTACCAAGATCATTTTTCACCACTGTTTTTCAAGAAAGATGATTTTTTAAAATTGTAATTAATGTATTGATTTTATTTGAAAGAAACATGCCAGAGAGAGAGACTTTCCAAACGCTAGCTTATTCCTCAAATAACCTCACTAGCCAGGGCTGCACCAGGCCAAAGCCAGGAACCCTGATGTCAACCTAAGTCTCCCATGTGTGTGACAGGGACTCAAGTACTTGAGCCATCACATGCTGCCACATAGGGTGCATGTTAGCAGGAAGCTGGACTGGAAGTAGAAACCAGGTCTCCCATGTGAAATGCAGAAATCTCAAGTAGTGCCCTAGTTGCCCACCAGAAACCTGCCCTGCCCAAGCTCGCTTTGAAAGGCCCACATCTTTCCCCCAACGGTTTGATACACCGTACTTATAAAACACTAAGTATAAACACACGTATACTGTGCCAGGCAAATATTACACATTCCAAAGTGCTGCAACAATTAACTGGGAGGCCATTAGACTAAGCCAACTCCAGCACCTCAGATTCTTTGGTAAGCAAACCAAAACTCTGCTCAATGTAAACATTCAAAGGACACTTAAATATAATCAATCAGAAACCGCCAACTAACCTGGACGTAGGGCCTTCTCGCTTTGACCAAGCAAATATTTGTCTGGCTCCTTCAAACATGTCATACGAGTTTCCCCTTTATGCCCTGTTTGCAGAACAGTGCTGCCTGATTCATGAATCACTGCATGCTCCAGGAAACCCATCAAAATTACAATGTGCCGAAGCTTATCTTTTAACACGAGCTATAATTATAGAGCTTTATCTGGCACAATAGACAGGAATTTAGCAGAACGTAATAATCATTAATAAGATATTTTTAGATTTTATTCATTTATTCATTATAAAATTTAAATTAGATCCTTTATGCTTTTATACACATACATGTACATGAAATTCCAGGAATTCAACAGAATTTTTAGATTTATAGTAACATGATAATAAACACATTCCGCCACAAACTGACTTTGTTTTCAACAGTGTTTTTAGGTACAGACTTAACATTCGTTTGAACTACTGTCTTCTTCTTCATTAAGCACCTATTTTCTAGAAGCAGGCTTTTAGCCTAGCAGTTAAGATGCCTGCATTCCACCTCTGAGTGCTGGGTTTGGCTCCCAGCCCCAGCTTCCTGATGATGCAGACACAGCAAGGCAGCTCCACTCGGCCATTGCAGGAATTCGGAAAGTAAACCAGCAGACAGGAGCACGTGTTCTCTGTCCCTGTCTCTCAAATGAATAAAGCTTTTAAAAACTTTATTTTCTCATTCTTTGTAAGCAATGTTTCAATGTCCCGGCTGCTCCACTTCCGATCCAGCTCTCTGCTATGGCCTGGGAAAGCAGTGGAAGGTGTCCCAAGTCCCTGGGGCCCTGCACCCATGAGGGAGACCTGGAAGCTCCTGGCTCCTGGCTTCGGATTGAGGCAGCTCTAGCTGGTGCAGCCATCCGGGGAGTGAACCAGCAGATGGAAAACTTTCTTTCTCTGCCTCTGCCTCTCTGTAACTCTGCCTTTCAAATAAATAATATAAATTAAAAAAAAAATAAATGTTGCAAAAACACAGAGAAAATGGAAGAGCACACACACACACAAGTATACATAAAGCCCATTTTTGAGTATGGTGTGAATAAAATTTAGCTTTTTCCCATATAGGTATACAAGGACTAACATCCTTTAGCTATTTGTTAGCTTGAAAATAAGGCAAGAGCAAGTCTGCATGTCTTTCTCAGGTTAACCTGGAGCACTGCCTAATAGTGCTTCATTCTCTAGGGGATCTAACTCTATTTGACTTACTCTTTACTGCTAAGGTTTTATTCTGTAAAATTATGTGCTAACTTGGAGATTGTTTTGATCAGGGAGATATGCAAATAATTTATCTGGTAAGGTTACAGTTTTATTATCTTGCAGATTAACCAGTTTTATACATGACAAATCTAACATTTTTTTGCCAGTTCCCAAAGGCTCTCAGCCAGTTTTACTGTCTTGCTGATTCACTGATAAATACATCTGTGACATGATTCCATGATTATTGTACATCAGCATGCTGCATTACAGGGCAATCTCTAACACAGAGCAAGTGTGCACATGTGCACAGGCCTGTTTCTGGGCATTCTGTTCCACTCTCAAATTCACCTCTTTCTGTGCCACACGCACAATTTTCATTATTTGGCTTTCTAACGCCTGTATGCCAATGGGGGCAAGTCCTCTACTTTATTAAATGCTCTTTTTCTTTTTGGGGGAAGGGGGAAGGCTCATTACACCTTAATTCTTACTTATGAATTTCAGAATCAGTCATTATAAGGTTATAAGAACATCATGACATTATTAGAGAAATCTGCAGAGAACTGCTGTCTACAATATTGTACCTTCACAACCATACACCATACATGATTCAGGTATTTTCTCTTTCAATAAAGGTCTTTAATGTATGAATACTTCACTTAGGTACATATATCCTTGCAAAATTGCCATGCAAGATCTTCACACTGCTCCCATTTCAGACTCTGGATCACCAAAGTAAGCATATTTAAAAAAAATTAATTGAATAAAATCACTTGTTTCACTCCAAA